TTTCTAGTTCCAGAGAGAGCAACAAAACTTGTGAATGAAAAATAAGAAAAAGAAGAAGAAGAATTAAATATTTGTCCATAGCCTTTTAGAAACTCAGGAATCCTTGAATTTGACACGTGAACATAAGCAGTGACAACGTACGCAATATATTACTAAACTAACATGTAATGCATCAAAACGTTTTGAAAATATATTGATGAACACATGTATAAAACATGTAATAAGAGTTATACTAATCATTGCCATAGAACTCAGAAACCTAAGTACACGTTTTTCTGTTAGATTTCTCTGGAAGTGGTTTTGAATATGTTGGTATAAGACCTAGATATGAAGATTAACACCGTAAGGTTGGATACACTTTTGTTGTCTCAATCAATCAAATTTACGAAATCATGAATTTAGCGAATATATATCCACTGATAAAAGAGTGATGCAACTATAGCAAAAGCGGCGCCATGAACAAATTATCATCAGAATGATATTTATTCATAATATATATATTGTTATTAGATCAAATATTCAGTTGTTAGTGATAGTTTTTTCGCTTCAAAATTATTATTTACCATTGTAAAATTTAAATCGAATCCATGAAAAGCACATTAAAGAACTGATTGTATCTCAAAAGGCGAAATTTCGAATTTTGGTTTAATTGGTCAACAGAATAAATTTATTCACTTTATGGTCGGTTTCAAACATTTGTTATTTATTATGTCAGTTTTATTTTCTAGAAACCTAGAATGATTTCAACCTCAATAGTTTTCAGAAGTTAGGGGTAAAAACATTTTGAAAGACATTTGATAATATTCAGACACACTCGTATAAAACATAAATAAATTCTGGCAGCACTTTTTTAAAATATATTATTAAATAATTTTATTAAAAATTATAATAAAAAATTAAGATATGTTAACGATAATTATATAAAATTATTTTATAAAATAAGTATAGAATCTTAATTGCATAGTACAAACTGGTCATGTTTTTGACAAACTTTAAAATTATAATCTTATATTATAATATTACTTTTTATCAAAAAAATCTATTGATTTTATGATTTTAAATAAATATTAACTAACATTAAAATATATAACAAAAAATATGTTACCACCCTAATTATTACATACGTCTAATGGTACCAAAAATTAAATCATTTTTACAAGTTCAAGTCTTTTTGTGATGTCACAATTTCTCTTACTAAATAGAACGTTAAAAAATATTTAATATATATACTCACTTTTTTTCATATTTATTTGTCTTTTTTTTTAATATAACGTCTATTACTTTTTCTTAAGTCTCATCTTTGTTCTCCTTATCTTTCTTCTATTCACAATTCAAAAGTTTATCATTACTCCAAAATGCTTATATATGTCTGAGAAACTTCCACGTCTCACAAGTATTATGGATTATCTAGACTATTTAATAGAATCCCAGTATTTCTCTAAAAATTTACGTGAGCACTTTATAGTTGATTAAATTTTTATAATTAGAGTAACTAAAATATAGTAAACATGAATTAAAAATATTTAAATATTTGTCCAATCTGGTAAAATATTTTTTATAATTAGAATATATATATATATATATATATATATATATATATATATATATATATACTACAAAATATACTTTCTACGTCGTCATTTAACGTTGGTTATAACCGAGACGACGTAGAAAGTACTTTCCACGTCGGTTCTCGGATGAGCCGAGCGTTGAAAGTTGAATATTAAACACGTCGGTTTTTAGTCAACCGACGTAGAAAGTACTTTCCACGTCGGTTCCCATATGAACCGACGTTGAAAGTCTTTTTTTTTTCACTTATTGCACTTTTCACGTCGGTTCCTATATGAACCGACGTGGAAAGTCTTTTTTTTTTCACCCAAAAATTCACTTAAATTTGAAAATTGTCATCTGGCGGGATTCAAAGTCAAGATTTTAGAATTGAAAACTAATACTCTAACCACTAAACTATTATAATTTTCCGATAGTAACTTACAAATAAATTATATTTATATACAAATAAATATATATCTATGTAAATATATATTTATTTGTATATATTTTCTCGAAAGTATTTTTATTTTTTTTTCAGCTAAAAATTCACTTAAGTTAATGAATTGTCACTGACAACATTTGAACTCAGTATTTTAGAGTTGAAAGTTAATATCTCAACCACTAAACTACTATAATTTTTTGATAATAACTTACAAATAAATTATATTGGTATTTTTTGATTAAGGGTGAAAGTGAGATTGACTCTCGCTTGAGTGAAAATATGTTAAAGTTCACGGAAATTCACTCACTCAAGCCTCGCTTGAGCGAAAATTAGTATTTTTCGCTTGAGAGCGAATGACGTGTTTCCCAAATTTATTTTATATCATTATATAAATAAAATTATAAAGATTATATTACGTCATTAAATTACAAACTCATATAAAGATACTTGCTTACAAATTTAGCATCAAATTTTAAAAACTCACTCGACACACACTTTCACTTTCGAGTGTGCCCTCACATCCAACATATAAATATATAACTATATAAATATATCAAAATATATAAATATATTTGTATTTATATATTTACACGGATATATATTTATTTGTATATAAATATAATTTATTTGTAAATTATTATCGAGAAAATTCTAGTAGTTTAGTGGTTGGAGTATCGGCCTCCAACTCTAAGGTACTGGGTTCGAATCGACGTAAAGAGATGGGAGATTTCTAGATAAATAAAAGAGGTAAAGGGGTTTTAAATAAATAAAAATTATTAATTTAAAAAATCATACTTTCAAGCTTTATTAATTGATAAAGCACTACTATATAAATTTTAAAATCATTTAAACAAGAATGCGACTACGTGATGACAAAAAGGGTAAACTTATAAAGGCTGTAAAAATAATATATCATTTTTCTCTTCGTTCTTTCTTGTTACAAATTCTCATTTCTTGTTATCAATTTTATAAAACTCTTAGTTATTTATGAATTATTATGTATCACTTTTATAAATAATAATAATAAAATTAAACCCATAACTTCTATTTATTAATTTGCTATTATATAATATTATTGTTTTTTTTTTGTATTTTTATCAGATTTTTTTAATTAAGTAAATAGGAGGTTAAGTACGTGGTACTATACTAATTATAAAGTTTGATATAATGATTATAATACGTTTTTTTCTACTAAATTATTAAGTCGAGGATAAAAGAATATGAGATTATTTTTATCTTAAAATCTTGATACATTATGTTTATAAATTTTTCTTACTTATATATATATATATATATATATATATATATATATATAATTTATTTTTAATTTTAGTATTTAACTTTTAAACTCTCACATATATGACAAATCAACCGTTTAATTATATTTGCATAAACTGTATACCGTATTTATTAATTTATTATCCATCTAAAGACATAATAATAATAATAATAATAATAATAATAATAATAATAATAATAATAATAATAATAAATCATAATTGAATGCATGGTATTGACTTTTAGAACATCCATTGCTTGTTAATTTTAAATTTGAGGGTATTACAATATTATCTAGGCTTAAGCACTTTATACAAAAAATTCATTCCAATGTTAACCTAATTTGGAGGTCTTGCCATGGATTTAATATTAAAACTTAACATATATTGTTCATTAATTTATGTGATTTTAAGGTATAACTTTTTTTCTTAAGTAAGGTTTCTTATATCACGTTTATATATAAACATAACTTAATGATATTCAACTTGTGTGATTTAATAGTTATAAAAAAAATATTTATCCATTTTTTTAGAATAGGTCTATGTGTAAATAAAATTTATAAATTTATAAAAAATAAGCCCCTATGAATCATGTAGGATTGCGAAACTTCTTCTCCAATTAGAAAGAGATATGAAAAAAAGAGAAAATGTCAGTTGGTTTAAAAGGCAAAGAAGTAAAATCTCTTTCAAGTATTTAAGCTCTTCTTTTTGTCTTTATATATATATATATATATATATATATATATATATATATATATATATATATATATATATATATATATATATATATATATATATATATATATAAAAGAATGGTTTTATTCTTAATAAGTTCTCAAACATGTTGGTCGGGTTTTCCCAAGTTTTATAAACGGGTCAAATGGTTTTACGAGGAGCACGTTCCGAAAGTGGTGCCATAAAAAACATATCATGAAAAGGACAAGAAGTCTACAAGGTCTCGTGCGAAAGCATTTTTTCTATTTCAATAAACAACAATTGACTCTTTCTATATTCCTAAAATAACAACTCATAAGTACTAATATGCCCTTGAACCGACCAACGTATATAATTAACAATACCAAATTATGAATATGATGAAACAAGACATCCATGCAGGAGCGAGAAATTTTTAACTCACGCTCAAGTTCACTGTGAATCATCACAAAAATAACAACCAACCCTATACATCCTAGGTATTGTTGAATGATAACCGAAGAACAAAATGGATGTCGCCGCCATTGATATAGTGTTTGCAGAGATAATGGCACGGAGAATATTCAGAAGCAGAGTGATTAACACTGGCATTGGGAGTGTCATTGTGTGAAGTACGTGGTCCACCAACACAGACATGAGCTGAAAATCGAAAGAAGGTGCCATGTTAATTTGTTGTCAACGTCGTACTCTACAATATCCTCCACGTGCTGAAAATATATATTTATTATTATTGGATTGGACTTGTACAACAAAGTAAAGCTGGCCCTACCGCGTCTCAGACCTTGATCCACTGTGTGATTCATCTCTCCACACACTCCTTTTACGCTCCTTCCGATCAACACGTTTTCGAGCTCAGACTATCCTTCAAAATCAAATCAAAATCAAGATCCAAAGCCTGAACCTTCCTCACACAACCTAATTATATATATAACAACACTTCCTCGTCCTCCTTTGCCGCCGCCAGTTCCATTTGATTGAAAACCACTCGCATGAAAACATAGACAGACACGTTAGGCATGGACATGGAGAAGAATGCCATGGATGGTGCTCCTGACTGTAAGACTCTTCACACCTCCGTATCTTCTTGTGTTAATGATAATAACAACAAGTTATACAAAGGGGTGAGGAAGAGAAAGTGGGGGAAATGGGTTTCTGAAATCAGACTTCCCAATAGCCGTGAACGCATATGGCTAGGGTCTTATGACTCTCCTGAAAAGGCAGCACGAGCCTTCGATGCTGCCCTTTACTGTCTACGTGGTCGCCATGCCAATTTCAACTTCTCCGACACTCCTTGCAACATGGACACCAATGTGGCTGTGGCTGTGGCTGTGGCTGCTCACCAATCTCTTACCGCACCGGAGATTCAAGAGGTTGCTGCCAAGTTTGCAAACGAGGACCCACTACTACTAAAACCTCTTAATCAAGAATCTCAACGTGGTGGTGGCGATGGTGCTGGTGGGAATTCTTCGGACAACATAGCAGAGAGTAGTTCTGGTACTTGTACCCCCACCCCCACTGCCTCCTCATGTTCTACTACTATGCATGAATGTGATGGATCGGTGCAAGTGGACCACGGGGATATGGATTGGACATTCTTGCACGAGTTTGATTACTCCAATGAAGTTTTTCCTGTTGGATCCGACTATGATCTCTATTCTGACCTACACAACGTGCACTCAACTTCAGGTGAGTTGTTGTACTCCACTCCACCCCCACCTCCTTTTCAGGGTTCCCAAGACTTGATTGAAGCCGATGAGGATCCTTTTTCTCACCCATCGTTCCTTTGGAATTGGAACTTCTGACATCACTCACTCCCTACTTTGCTGCCTCATAATCATATATGATTAATTAATTACTAGCCACACTCTCTATATAATAAACATCCTTAGTCTTTGTATATAAGAAAAAAAAATATGGCGTTGTTTCTAAATAACAGTAGCAAGGACAGGACAGGACAGGACAGGACAGAACACAGGTTTTATCAAACCACATACACCCTTCCCATAATTAATCATATGCCTAGATATGTGGCTAGGGACACGGTTTTTCTAGTGCTATCTATTTCATAGATTCGCACAGGCTAACTAGCATCCATAGATGTTGTCTTACATGGCAATAGAATATTTGTACTTTATAGGATGTTTCTTGTATACTGGTTCAAGTATATATTTATACATAAGTACACACGCAGCTACTAATCTGTGATGTATTCCTTCTCATTTCTCTGTAAAATTAAATCTGAGTGGATTTGTAGTGCTTATTTTTGCTGTGCACAAGTGTATAACAATAAATGTGTGTTCCAAGTAAGTATTTGTGGATATGAACATTGGGAATTTATATCTTCATCATGAATATTAACTGTAAGTGTGGTATCATTACTCAACCTTGGCTAGATGGGGATTTCTATATCATATTATCTACGGTCTGTCTTTTTTCCACAATAAGTAAATTTTCATTTCAAAATTTCATAGAGATCAATGGCAGTTCAGCGTAACTGCTGAAAAACATACATTTTTTTTTTCAGAAGGGTCCATTGCTTTATTTATATATACCAACGAGAAAACCTAGTATGTATAGTTTTGTCATTCTTCGGTAGCATGATGATCCAATTTCATTTATGCATTAACAACTTATGGCAAAGTTATTTGTAAAGATGTGTAGCATAAGCAAGAAGAAAATTAAAAGTTTCATTGATTATTCCTTGAGATACAATCTTTGAATTATTTTTGTGGAGAAAAAAGGTTATAAGGTTTACCATAAATTGATAGAATGATTGAATCCAACGTTTGCCCTAATCTTGAATTTTTCTTAATTCTATAATTGAGAATTAAAATGAATAGGGTATTTGCTTCGGGTTTTTATTAGACAAACCTAGTAAATACAATGAGCTTACTTAAACCCTAAACCTAAAATGAATTGGACACATTAATACGAATCATTTGCATCGATGAAATTTTAAAAACCAAACAACGAATGCATTTCGTTCTTGTATAATAAAGAACAAAAAGTACGAGAAAAATGTTATCTTCCAACAAGTGATCGTCCAACTTTGTAAATTGTCTTTGGAAAAAATTCTTGTGAAATGGGATTAACAAGAGACCCCTCACTAGCTAGGCAACAATTACAATCCATAATGACCTATTCTCATGAAAACATCAATGACAAATATCCATTATAGTAATTTAAAGATGCTATTAATTTTCATTCTCAATATTATTTGATAATTTATTAATATTAATTCTAATACATTACTAGAAAGAAAAAAATTTACATCGATTATTTTAAGTATTTTATATCGATTATTAAACCGACGTAAATATTACTTATGTAAAAAGTGAGAATTTTTATATTGGTTGACAAGCTGATGTAAAATTTAAATATATAACATTAGTTATAAAAAATATCGATATAATATGTCATTTTTTACATTGATTTTGGGTTATAATTGATGTAAAAGGTGATATGTTACATTGGTTCTCTTTTCAACGATGTTATATGTCCACTTTAAAAAATATATATATCACACTCATAAATGTCAACATTTTCATACATAATCATCGGTAAAGTGTTATTTATTTTTTATCTTTTCCTACACAATATAACATAACAATATTAATAACAATATATAATATCAACTATAAATTTTTTTATCCATTCTTAATAAAGCTTAACATATAATCGAGTAAAGAAATAGAAGTGATACACTTACCTAGAACGATGATAACAAGAGAGAGATGTGAGATAATAATGACATGGAGAAATAATGACAATGTTTTAGACAATAGAAAAAAGTTTCATCTTCATTCTTTCTCCTGTTAAGGTGACTAAAATTACGTTATAACTTTGTTTCATTAATATGGTTGAACAATATTTTAAGAGTAGGAGATTCGAAGAAGAAAAACTTTGAAAAGAAAAAACTTTGAAGATGATAAATTTGGAGAATTGAAGTTTCATAAAGGAGAAGCTTCAAAGAGAATGAGATTTGAGAGAGTACAATGATAACAAATAAGAGTTTTTAGGACAACAATGTAAAAATGTGAGAAAATACAAAAGACCTTTTACATCAATTGTATTAACATCAGATTATATAACATCAGTTTCTTTTAGAATCGATATAGTATCTAGATACTATATCAGTTCTAAAATGAACTGATGTTATACGTAAGATATTACATTGGTTATATTAATTATCGATGTTGAAAATCTATCCATTATTGAAAAATACCATCACCTTTATGTTTAAATCGGTTTTCATGTAATCTATATAAATAAGATGTAAAATTGTTGTTTTACATAATAAAGAATGCTAACCCACATATATTTAAAGGAAAATGTAATACTCTTTCGTTTTTATATAATTAGTTAATTATTAGAGATAAAATATTACCATACTAAGAATGATATCAACCCGACCAATAATAATAAATTTATTTTAATATATTTTTTGAGACAGTTCAAGAATTTCACTTGAGCAAAATGAATTTATTTAAAATGATCAAAGTGTTGTCAAAGTACTTTGTATAAAAATCATTACTTAACCTATGTTTTATCTTAATCACTATCTAAATTTAACTACTAACACGAAAAGTAAATAGAGAAAAGTAATAAAGTTGGTTTGATTAATTAATTTTTTGAGTGATGAATTTATATGTAATTTTTCTCTCTTCAATAATCTTGAAATATTAATGTCCAGACACTTTTTTAAACTAATGAATTTCTTCATATACAGACCAAATGATCTTAGTCATTTTCAACAAATTCATCAAGTTTGATCATATAAACATCCTAATCGAAATTATTATTTTAAAAAATAATAAATAAATAAATAAAAATTAAGTAATAGTATAATTACAAAGTTATTTATATATTTATTACATAAAAAAAATGAGAGAAAGAAAATATCATTTTTTATAATTTATATTCTTATATGTGAATAAAAAAAATAAAAACAACGAGATAAGTAATATTTTCAAGGAATTTTTTTTTAATTAAAAGGAATACAAAAAGAAAGTGAAATAAATGTTTGAATTTGTAGAAAGGTCCGTACGAGTTGTTGAAAGCAAGCAAAAGCCGGTGGTCAATGCCTTGTTTGGTGGCTGACTCGTGTTCATCGCACTCACTGAACTGACTCGGTAAAACTCTCTTCTCTTTTCTTATAAATCAGTTCACACTAACGTTTTCGTCACTCCTCTCATGTCAGCCCCTGCATCATCCTTCATCGTACTTCCAAAAACACTTCAACATTTATTCACAATTAAGATTTGTTTATGAAGTAAAGTTGTTGTTGGTAACCAAACAACATCTATTTTAACACAAGATAAAGAGGGGTGATACGTTGACATCTCAAACATCCCAAATACAATTAAAAATATTAATATTATATTAACATGATTGTCTAATGATGTAGCAGTTGTTAATAAAATATTTTCCCACAAAAAAGATGAGAGTGTCCTATCAACATTATCTAATGACACAGCATCGAATAATATTGTAAGGTTGTCACCAGCTAGAGTTTTCTCTCTTCTTCTTCCTGGATTTGAGTTTGACCTTTTGTTTTCATTCTCAACACATTCAACGGTCAAATATGGGGTGTTTTCTCTTTCTCTGTGTTCTCCCATTAATAAGGAGTTTTAAGAACATTAAACACAATAACAACACAAACATAACCAGGAGAGTAGACTTTGAACAATTTCCCACACAAAAGTTGACGATGAAATTGTCCTTATGACATGTTTCACAAGCAAAATATTTTGTTTGTTACGAGTAGAGAAACAAGTGGTCGGATACTATAACTTCTTTATTTTATTTTTCACAATTGTCACCTACGCTACCAGTAATGCAACTACCAATATTTAATTTGTTTCAAGAAGGCATCCAATTTTATTAATGCTGTTTGATGAATATATATTTCAAAATTAGAATGGCTAATATTAAATTCTTAATAACCATCTCTTTTATCCTTATAATTTGAGTAAATTTAATCATTTAAAAATAATTATCATTTTCAATTTTAAGATAGGATATTAAAACACCATTTTTTTACTGATTCAATAAATAAATCTTGTCTTGTTAGATTTGTCAACGTGAAAACTGTATAACTCAACAAAAGTGACCACATTACAATAAAAAAAAATTTAATATTAGATTATTTTTTCAATTTTTTATTGTTCTGAGGCGCACTTTTAAAGTAATTTTGACAATGTTCATACCGTTTTTTTTTTTACTTCAACATAGGTTGTGTTCTATAGTTTTTATACAACTCTATCTAAAAATAAGAAACATTAATGATTTTAAAAGGACTAAAATTGGCCAAAATTTAAAACATAAGCTACTAAAATTAATTTTTTAGAAAATAACGTGAACCAAGATAAAACTTATTATAATAAAAGATAAAATATATTCTTAAAGGTACAAACTGTAAACAATATTCTAAAGGCGCTATTTTTCAGTTTTTAACCATACAAATTAGGAATGATAACAGACATTGGTGGGACCAAAAAGAGGGTATGAGATTCTAGGACTCGGAAAATGCGGTCCCACCCTTCCTTCCCATTAAATTACTTAAAATGCTACAGCAGCAACTCAGAAAAACCAGTTCTGTATAGACAATAAAAGAAGTAATTATTTGCTATCATAAGATAGTTTAACGTGAGAAACTAGTTACGAGGATCCTTTTTTTAAATAAAGAATAATAATTTCTTTGTCCAGGAAGCTTAGTTTGTTGCTTAACTTTTGGTTTAAAAGTAAAAAAAAATAAAAAAATTACTTAGAATTTCCACTTATTCTATCCTTACTAGCTAATGACAATCACTTCAGATTTATATGACAGTTAACATAAACCTCGACACTACTGGATATAAGTATGATGAACACTTCTAATTGAGTATTGACAGTTTGTTATCTTTTAACTAGTTAATCATCTGGCGAAGTCTAACTCTAAATAAGTGATCTGACACGCTAGGTTCCAAAAATTTCTTTATCTAAAACTCAAGCACACTAAGATCTTCCCTAAATACAAAAAAGGTATTGCAAATTTCATTAAATCTTTATGTAAGATTCCTCATACAGTCCACATCGCAACAGTAGACTAAGCCCTCTTGGTTAACAGATCAAGATAACAACAGAGAAATCATTGCATCAGAAGATTCTGGTCCATCGTTATTCACACTCGGTATAATGTTATCAGGACATACAAGTTTTACAAACTCTTTGAGTTCTGTAAAGCTGCTATGCTCACTGTACGGTACTTCGTACCTGATAAACAAGGAAAACTTCGATTAATTAATAGTTGTGAGATTCTAAGGAACAAGCCGATCTATCAACTACCATTGTGCACACCTACTAAGTAGTCCAGTGAATATAGCTAAAAATTCTACTTAGAGACCAGGGCTTTGTTAAAACAAACTTTTTTTACCAGAAGTAGAAAAAAAAAAATCTTGGTGATTTGAGGGACCTAATCCATGTACATGATTCAAGATTTCAACCAGAAGTATTTAACAAAATAAGACAGTAATAAAGGAAATTAAAGCGTTACCTTATAATAGTACCCTTTTGCCATCTTCTTCCAGTAGACTTCTTTTTACCTTTGCCAAACGTCCAACCAGTAGGGGAGAAAGCAACTATAAGATCGAACCGATCCTACTTAAATAAAAAGATATTTGATGATTATGAACGTATAATAAAAAAGTTAAAAGACATGTAATTCGATATAAGGATTCCCTCTAAAGCTGTACAACCAGCCACCAATATATTCAATTATGGAACAGCTCTCAAACAAAATACTAGATCAAAGTATGAAATAAAAATTATTACTTCCTTTCTATTGAGAAGATATGTTTCAGAAAATGTTATATTAGTTTAATGATATATTAATTATTTTTTTCAAAAATATCCTTAATTAATTGACATGTTTTTACCAAAACAGATTAATAAATGAATGACAAAGTTTTCATCTTTTAATGTAATTTGAGAACGCAAATACTAACCGATATTAAATAAGAGTAATTTTGAAATAGTAATTCAAATTGTTGTCAACTTTGTTATTTTTAAATTTTTTTTTTTAAAGAGAGTTAGATGAATATACGATATATCTAAATGCGTACATCAAGAAATTATCCTTTTACATTGAAAAATAGCACAAAGTCAGCATGGTACCTGTGCCAGAAAAACAAGCAGCAGCACTCACCTTATATTGATTTGATATGTGCTTCAATCTTTTGAAGCTTGCGAGCGTCCACATAGGGGCAACATGAATGTTGCTTTCATGTTCGTTTGAAGTGAACCACTGCATATCCTCTTCCTTAAATTCCAAACATTTTAAAAGACGTAACTTTGCCGCAGTCACGTGAACCTTTTTACGAAGCGAACGAGCAACCTCCAAGAATAACCTTTCTTTTCCTATAAAACAAAGGAAAATAAGGACGGAAAGACAACATCCAAAATCTTTTTATTTTTCTTCATTAATTTCCTAGTAATAGGGCATACTACCACAGAAATACAACTCTACCCGAACCTACATTCGGCAGCAGTTTGGCAACTAATTACACAACTGCAACATGTATTAAGCGAATATTAAATATTGCAAAGATAAGCATTGTAAAGTATGTAGTATAATTACACAAAGAAAGTCCCATTGATCTCTACCAATTGTATAGCTGCCGATCAGAAAAAGAGTTTTGGGATTAAAAGTTTCTGCTTGAATGGCATCAATAACGAATTGTATTACAGCCTCTTGTTTTGGAAATTCATACTGCAATGAAACAGAGAACAAATATTGAAAGCAATTATTATCAAGAGTCAAAGGAAAACGTATATGAAGTTATGAACTGATTTTAACAAACTGAAAGATTTGGGGAAAAGATTTTAGCAAACGTATATGGTATAAACTATGTGCAGAGATTATTAGAAAAAAGGATGTACTCGTGTTTTTGGGAAAATGCAAAATTTTGTTGCATTTGGTCACTTAATTCATTTAGTTTTAGGTTGTATTTGTAGTCTTTTATCGTTTACTTTATATTCAATTTGATCATTTATGTTCTAAAATATTTAATTTCAGCATTTATATTTTTAAATTAAATCAAAATTGTCCTTATGTAAACTTAAAGTTAACTTAATAATATTTTACCATTAAAGGTTTAGAACTGCCACAAAACAACTCTTTATAAAATATTTTCACTACGTAGTGGATTTTAACCACCACTATAATTAAAAATAAATAAATCCCACCCCAACACTATATAGGCTTGCATACTTGATCTTCCGGTAAGAAAAAAGTATTACCAGTCGATTTCTGTACTAAATTGGAAACACCGTGGATGTCAAACATGCATATAGGTAAGCTAGTATTAGTTTATTCAAGTGACAAGCAATATCAGTCATACTATTACTAATTATTTCAAACTCATCAGTGCCTTTGGATAACCTTCTAAATAGTGTTTTTCACAATGAACTTTTCTCCTGAAAGCAATTTTCTCTGACTAAAAAAGAACCAATCTGAGTTTTACTTTGTATAGAAAACTAACACTATTGGGTAAGATTAATATCCCAGAAACAACCTCCAAAGCTCTTTCAAGAAGCTAGCAAATACAAGTGTGATTATTTCTCTAAAACATTTGCACCAAGTTGGCAGACTTTTGTAATTGCTAAGATATTGCACCGTGCCACTTGCCAAGCCAACCATCAGTTGTCATGTCAACGGACCCTAATAAACTACAGACACAGATGGTAGAAAACTTGTCTGACACCAGTTAGATTGAAAATGAGTTAACTTTTACTTAATCTTGTGTAGCTGGAATGTAATGTGCTTCTGCATTATTACTTTATTACGTTATTGAACAAAAAAAAAATTATGGAGGTCAGGTCACCAAAAAAATAAAAGCGTATACATTCCTGTCATTGTTGACAGATGACTCCATTATTCATATCGGACTGACCTGTGGATTGCAGTATGTTGTATCAAGAATTAGAGTATCGATAGGACAAGTCTGCAATAAAGGATTGATTGTCATTTCTTCACTAAACCGGAAATCACCCGTGTGAAGCACAACCTATAAAAGGAAGAAAAACATCAAGTCATTAATCACATCTAACATAACAAAGGATAACTGCAAAACAATAATAAGCTCATAAGTAAGTCAATCCAAGTCACACCTTACCATTCGGAGGTTGAAAGAGTATGAGTATGGAACCTGGACAATGGTTGGCATCAAAGCAAGTCACATCAACACCAGCTACTTCAACCTTTTGGTTCAGAGGCAAAACATGTAATTTATCATATGGAATTCCAATGTTCATATTTACAAGCCTAGCTGTAATGGAGGAGCAGTAAATCTTTCCATGATTAAATGACTTGGTGAGACCTTGATAATCTGCATTCACAAATGAGAACCAACAGCCGTGGCGTCAATTGGAAAGTTTGACTGTGATGGTATTAATCCACTTCAAAGGAACTGGACACAAGGAACTCCATTATTTATTTATTTGGTGGTTTAAACTAATGTCTTCAATTTAACGTGATCTGAAACTAATATTTTCCGGATACAAGTACCAAAAGACCGAAATGTAGTTTGGCAGAAAACTCCACAATTTTATTTGACACATTCAATAATACACTCATATACCTATGAAGGACCAAACCTAGTTTGTTACAAATTGTTTTTCATGATAAACATCTTTGATCTCCCACTGTGAATATGTGAGTTCCACAGTAATTATTTATCCAAATTGTATGACCAAAGTCAAGAATTATGCAAAGAAAACACACAAAACAACTATTCAAACTTCCTAAGCTAACCATCTGATGCAGATCCGTGTGTAACTGTTTAATCAAATCTACTTAGACCTAACAATCAGAGGTCCTACTAAATAGGATCACATTTTAATGCCAAACCTTATATTCAAAGCTGTAATTAAATTTGATGAAAGTAACAGTTAAATAAATGAAAAGTTAACCAGATTGAAACATATCATAAATATAACACAGAAATCAATTTAAATTTATATTTTATATACTTGTCTGTGTATATAAATATGTATATATGTATGTATGTATGTATAAAATACATATACACATAAACACGTTTGTTGCATGAAAACGGTGACTCACAACTGAAATTGTTTTGTTATAAAGATTGAACGTTAGCATGCAGAAGTAGGCTTACGGTCCAAGTGGAAATGTGTGAGGAACCAGTGGGAACAATCTCCTCTGAGATATTTGAAAGCATCCTGCATATAATCATGTTTTTGTCAAACACTCGGACCTACATCAAGACTTGATAGAGCAGTAATGGTGATAGAATAGAAGTTTCTTAGATGTTGACGTTCATAATTTATTGGCATGAATGTTGCAGACATATTTTGCTCATTTTCTTCAATTTTCTTTTCCTAGTTCAGAAGGTCAACATGAAACGTGATTGATTTGTATGCTCAGTTTGAATAGTCGTCCAAGTGACCAATAAGTATATTTTCTAATGGATGTTGAAACCAGTTACCAAGCACCACACAAGAAAAAACCCTTTTCAGCTAGCAGTAATGCATCAAATGCACAACTTGAATGTAAAAAACAAGGATTTTCCCTTTTTAGATAATTTAGAAAAGACTTTCCTTCTGGCTAAGATACTTCCAGAGTCCTAAAGAGATACACAAAGATAATATACATCAATACAAATCAAATGCAAATGTATCATTAAAACTGCTATTACCACTCGGAAAGGCGTTCCTTGTACAAAACACCATTTGGGAATATTACGGAGCTTTCTATTTGTTGTAACACTTTTTGATTTGTGCTTACAACTAGTATCCAAGCCACCGTTTCTCATTTCCTTTTGTACTCCAGGAGAGGCAGAAACTTTCTTTTCTTTGGAAGCAAACCCCGGAAAATACTCAGTAATTAATTTGTTTGCCGCTGGTTTACTAGCGCCATAAACTTTTCTGTCAGATTTGTCATGCTTTAATTTGACTTTCTGGTTTCTAATCATTCCAGGCTCCGCCAAAGCATCCCCATGTTTCTCATTTTTAGCGGCATCTCCTTTTCTCAGTTCACACAGGGCATGCAAAATCTTTTTTCTGGGCCCAAGCGCAGTGATACCCATGCTTAAGAGATCCTGCAGATACAAAAGGAAAAGAGGAAAAATATTTGCTTAACATGAATTTTCAACAAGTAAATAGACAAACACTTAATACAAACAAACCAGGGTGCATGTGGGTTTTACACAGCACTTCTCCTTTTAATTTGGGATAGCAAGAATCAAGACATCTTTTATTTCCAATAAATAACACAACCTCGTTAAGTTAAGTGCTCTCCATGCACATTCTAGGCCACCAAGTAACTACTTATCCTATTAGCGGGGAAAGGAGAATAACAATTCAAATTCCAATTTTTTACCTAAAGCTGAAAATTAAACAAACAATTCTTCAAAAGCATAAATGATGAACAAATTACTAATAAAACCCATAAATAAATTCAAACAACAAATGTGGCAAGGGTTATGAACCTAAAACTTATGGAATGAATGAGATAAAGTAAAAACGTAAGTAAACCTCTTCTGTGAGCCATTGTAAGGTGTCCCAATCAACTTCTTCCCTGATGAAAAGAACTTCATATTTTCCCAAACCGAGCCCGTGAAGCCAATCAACAACAGAAGCAACTTTTGGCGCATGTTGAGCACCCTTCTCGTCTTCAAGAACCGCAACCTGCACAACATTGTCACAACATATAGAATTAGCTTCAATTGAAATGATTAAGTTCCCCGTTAATCACCATGAATGGTGGTACTGTCGTTTAAATGGCGTAAATCTCACGTTGTCTCCTTCGTCTAGACAATTATTGGTATGAAGATGTCGCTGTTCCTCGGTCATATTCGAAATATCAACATAACACAGGGGACACCGAACGGAACTATCCACTTCCTCCAACTCATCGCACAAATTCATCAACAGACCAAGCTCCGTATCAGAATCTGCATCTGCAGCGTTAAGCGCTCCGGTTCTTGAAACCACCAGCTTTGATTCTACGGAGTTGCGAAGATAATCCCCCTTTGATTTCAGCTCCGACAAAGACGCGGAAGAAGAATCACTGTCCTCTTGTTCTGAATGTTGAACGCTGCAAATCGAAACACAATCTATGGAGGAAGGAATAAAATCCAAGTTGCAGTTCTCAATTTCGCAATCCTCGCTGGGTTGGACGTTCTCCTTGCCACTACCATTGCCACGAAGCGCCGTCGATTTGCATTTAGGTTTCTTTAATGGCCGTTGATTCTTATCGACGGACTCGAGCGCGTGAAAAGCCGTTGCCGTTTGTGTAAGAGGGATCTCAAATTCATCGTTCTCGTCCCAATTCATTTTGGAAATCATCTCTTCTCTTCTCTGCGCCAGAACTTGAAACAAAGATGACGCACTTTTCAAATTTTTTAGCGGGAATGAATGTCAGATATATTTTGTGTTTGGGCCAAGCCCAATGTTGCAGTTCCCACGTCCAGGACCAGGCCCAATAAATTTTTTTTTTTTGTATTTTCTTCATATATCAAAAAGACAAGCTTCTACTACTCTATTCTTCGACTACACTTGGATCGTTACTGTGAATCTGCGATTCGAATCAGTTGAGCGTTGCGTCTGACTATGGCAACGGAAAACAAGTGGTGCGTGGTGACCGGAGGCAGGGGTTTCGCCGCTCGGCATTTGGTGGAAATGCTAATCCGGCTCAACGAATACTGCGTTCGCATCGCCGATTTGGGAGACAGCATTGTTCTCGAGCCCGCCGAACAGTTGGGGCTTCTCGGCCAGGCCTTGGACTCTGGCCGGGTCCAATACGTCTCCCTCGATCTTCGCGACAAGGCCCAAGTCCTGAAAGGTAACCAACCTCATCTCTTATCTTTCAATTGTAACAACATTTCTCTCACGCACGCATTCGCTAATGTGGGTTTTACGAGTAGTGTAGCATTGGAAGGAGTTGAGGTTGTATTCCACATGGCTGCTCCGAACTCTTCAATCAACAATTACCAGCTTCATTATTCCGTCAATGTGCAAGGTAAACCTCACTCTTCTGCGTCTTTGCTTCTTCGAAGTTTGAATCTGACTGTGATCTTTCTTATGTAAGGGACTAAGAATGTCATAGATGCTTGCGTGGAGCAGAAAGTGAAGCGACTGGTCTACACCAGCTCCCCCAGCGTGGTCTTTGATGGCATTCATGGGATTCATAATGCGGACGAAACAATACCTTATACACATTTGGTACACACTTTAGCAACTTTCCTTTAACTTAAATCACAAATTAGCATGTGTTTCTCCGCTTGGAACTTTAGTCAACGTATACGAGTGTGAGAACTGGAACTGGGGCTATATGTTTATTATGAGACTGTCCTAAGCTTAATTCTATTTGTTTGTTTTAGCCTAATGATCATTACTCAGCTACGAAAGCTGAGGGTGAGACATTGATCATTAAAGCTAATGGGACTAATGGCCTCCTAACATGCTGCATACGCCCTAGCAGCATTTTTGGGCCCGGTGATAGACTATTGGTGCCTACACTAGTTGATGCTGCCAGGAAAGGGAAATCCAAGGTAGATGTTATTTTTCCTCCAATTGATATAGATTTTAGTGTAACTGAAACATTTTACTTTATCGCATTGGGAGGGATATGTACAGAAATGGTTGCAGAGCAGTTAAATACTTACTAGCAAAACTTCCTTCCACCTTTTTTCTTATTCTCTTATTTATATTTCTCTTTTGACCAGTTCCTTATTGGCAATGGCAACAATGTTTGTGATTTCACATATGTTGAAAATGTGGCACATGCTCATATATGTGCTGATCGTGCTCTAGCTTCAGAAGGACCAGTTTCAGAAAAAGCTGCAGGAGAGGTACCACTGAGATTCTGTTATAACTTAGTATCTTCTATTTATTTGTGTTTGTAAATGAAAATTAAAGTTGTACTTAAAGAGATGATGATGATGATGATGTGTTTGAAGGTTCAGGGTAGAGTCTTCATTGGAGAAAATGAGGAGACATGAAAAAAATGCCTGTTGAGAAAGCCTTGTCGGTGACCTAGTTTGTTAGATTAAGAATGAATTATTGCATTTCATTCTCCCAATAAAGGGGTGGGAAGATTGATTGATTTGCTAGTTAGGATACTCAGCAATTACTGTAGTATTTTCTTGCTAACGAACATGTCTTTTGTAGGCATATTTCATAACAAATACGGAGCCTATGAAATTTTGGGAGTTTGTGTCAGTGGTATTGGATGGTCTTGGATATGAAAGGTAGTTTCTTACATGCTGTTACCATTAGTTATTTCTTTCACTTGTTATGTAACCTCTCATTTTTTTTTTTTTTAATTTGAGATTCTCCCATATTGTAAAACCAAAGATTTAAGACACCAATATTTTCATGCAATTTTTTAAAGTTTTCTTCTTACTATTAATTTATAAAATTACCAATTTGAATCTCATAAAAGGAGTATTTATAATCCTAGAATGGACCAATTGTCAAATCCTTGTAAAACACTGAGGCTATTTATAGATATGGGAAATTTTCCTAAATTTAAAAACTGAATAACATAAACTATCTTGGACTATAACCCATTAGGGTTTGTCTAGTGATGGGGAGTGTGGATCACATGCATGAGGTCATAGGTTAACCTCGATGCAACCAACTATTGTATACATATAAAAGACATCTGTTTACTCTGCGTCACCCATGCTCAATTTATAGTACATAGAACGTGGTAGCAGTTTGGAATTGTCAGATTATAAATTAAATTGTTGTGATTAACTCAGTTAACACTTAGACATCCTTTTTTCTTTGTTTTGTTCCATAGTAGGAAAGATGCAAATTTTGGTTGTCCTCTATCATTTGGATTAGGCTGAAGTTGCTTTCAATTTGGGATGGTGGATGATGGATTATTTTGTCTTGCAATCCTGACTCGAGTGTATTTTTTTGTCATCCATTTTTTTATAAGGATTGGCATTATCAATGCCATTTTTTTGTTATCTGAGTCATGTTATCTTTTGCAGGCCAAGAATAAAGATCCCTGTTGTTGTTATCTTGCCCATTGCACATTTCGTGGAGTGGATATATAGGCTGCTAGGCCCATATGGGATGAAAGTGCCTCAGTTAACCCCTTCAAGAGTAAGACTCACATCCTGCAGCAGAACTTTTGATTGCTCAAAAGCAAAGGATTGCCTTGGCTATGCACCCATCGTAACACTACAGGTCTCCGATATTTATGAAAAGCAATAATATATTGTAGCCTCTATTATGGACATTCATTGAGTTCATACTTTTAAAGAGAAAAACATGATGAGAAGTTGGCTAACTCAAGGCCCCCAAAATCACTGATGATAACAAGTTAGGAAGGATTATCTAAAATATTATGAAAACAAGTATGAGATGCTATTCTTAATGAATGTTATGTCAGTGCAGTAAAGTACTAAGGTTCTTACATCTATTTTTGTGGATGTATTCATTAATCCTACTTGCCTGGGTGCTTCTCCCAAAATATTGATATTGTAATTTTGCTTGCAGGAGGGCCTGCGGAGGACAATTGAATCATATGCACACTTGAAGGCAGGAAATCAACCTAAAACTAAAAGAGAAGGTCCCTCGAAAGCTTCCAAATATCTTGGAAGTGGAAGAGGTGTGAAAAATCAATTATATGTATCTAATTTTTAGTTGGGCAATCTGGACTTGCTTGTAAAGAATTAAACTTTAGTGTGACTTTAATGAATCTGATTAGATTATGATCAAGAGCATCTTGATAGACATGTTAAATACATAACATTTATTTTCCACAGATAAATCAGGTAAATTGTAATAGGTAGTGCATTAGGTTGTTGTTTATGCTCACAATCACATTATCATGTACTACGTATTATCCATATATTTCAATCTTGATAATTGCTTTTTTAAAATTGTAATAAAGTATGTCTGTGCTTGATTGCTAGCTCTAAAAAGCCTGAAACAGCAGCAGTTGAACTTAAAAATTTTGGCGCTAATATTTCTAATTTAGTTGATTATAACAAAATTGACTGCTTGTTATCTATTTACGTGATCAATGCTATCAGATCTCTTCTACCTACTATACCGACATAACAGTGTAACCACTTTGTGTTGGGAGTACTTTTACAGTTTACATTTATTTATCTTTAAGTTATGATTGATCTGCTAATTTGCAGTTGCTGACACATTGCTTTGGAAGGATAAAAAGCAAACTTTCATCGCATTGTTAGTCTTGAGTGCAATATACTTCAACTTCATTGCATCTGAAAATACCATCATTAGTGCTTTGACAAAGCTGCTATTGTTCGCATCGATCTTTTTATTCATTCATGGCATTCTACCTGCAAAAATGTAAGTACACTATATACTGTTGAATATTGCATTAGTCAATTAACAATGTATGGTACAATTAACTTGTCTAATGATGTATTATTATTATGATAATTATAAAGATAATCCAATTGTTAGAAAGCATTGCAGGTTTTAATCTGAAAGTGAATGCTAACTATTGCTCTACTTCATGCTTGTGCAGGTTGGGGTATACTGTTGAGAAAATGCCCAAATCATGGTTTCATTTATCAGAAGATAGGTCACATAAAATTGCTCTCTCAGTGGCCTCATCATGGAATATTGCTGTGAATGTTTTGAAATCCCTCGCAGAAGGAAATGATTGGGTGCTGTTGTTAAAGGTACCTGCACTTTGTTGCCTATATTTCCTTGTATCTGCTGTGGTTATGATGTATAAGAGACATCAATTTTAAAAATCCTGTCCCTTTGATGTTTTCTTATTTAATATAATAAAATATGCATTATTCAATAATAATAAAAAATAATTTATTTTATTTTAAAATTAAAACGTATTTGTGCAATACAAATCTAAACTTGTCAGCGAATTGTGAAATTTTATTCGTGAAGCCCATAATTTGGAACCTTCATTTTAATATTCCCATGTAACTTTTGCATATAATCAAGTTTACTGTTTACATATGCAAACAATTTACTGAGTATAAGTTTCATAAAAAAACTGACACATCTTTCCCTTGATGATCAATAGGTTGTTCTCTCTCTGTTCATTTTTAGCTTCCTTGGAGCCTTTTCACTTCAGAACTTGTATACTATAGGTTCTCTCTCTTTCTCTCTCTCTCTCTTCAAACACACTTTGACATATGCGTGTGGCACATGAATTTGTCTGTAACTGCTACGCCTGCCTCCATTTAATTGAATCTGTTTCTGCAACCGCTAAAATTATGACTGGAGGTCTATATATGTTACTTGAATTCACGATAGCTTTTCAACATGGATTGAATTTTGAATCATTTGACTACTTTTTGTTTAAAAAATAAATAAAGCATTTGCATTCAGCATTCAGATGTCTGGAGCCCTGTTCACTTATGGATACCCCAGAATAATTTGACTTGGCATTCCTGAATTGACAAGTTGCATGTTACACCTCGCTTTTTTCTAGGGCTGTTGCCAGCAGAAGACAAGCTTTGCCATTACAACTTATGTGTCTTGTTTGAATTCAGAGCCCTGATGGGAATTATACTAGTTTTGCTTCTTTTTTTTCTTTCTTTTTTTTTCTTTGGTTGAGGAATGATACTAATTTGTTTCTCGTCGTGGTTACAGGAGTTACCTTTGCGTTTATAGCGTTCTACGTATACGAACAGAAGGAGGAAGACATTGATGGGATATTTATAAAAACACATTCTTTTAGTTGCAAATTGAAATCTGATCTCACCAAAAAGTTTCTTTCCTCAAAGAAGAGTGATTGATAGCTTTTGTAGAACTAGTTTTTTCTTAGATTTCGATGGAGTTTCATGTATGATTCTACAATAATTGTAATTTAATTTGATATTCAGCCAGATTGCGAAATTTGTTTCTTGGGAATTTCTTGCTTTGACGAGTCGGGGTACATTAAATTAAATAATCTTAACGTTAATAATAATAATAATATATTTATTATTTAATTTAATTATTATACTAAATAAATATATTTTTTAAATATTGTATTATTAAATTATTCAGTCAATAAATAATTTAATCTATTTAAAAAATATATTCTAAAAAATGTCTTAAAATTAAAAAAATATATGATTAAGATTATTGAACATAATTCAACTCACTTAAAGATAGATTGAGATGAATTTAATCGAATAAAAAAATATACAAATTTGATTTAATTTAATCTAAGATTTCTTTATTAGGTTAGGTTGAAAATTTAACCGTCATCCTTAAGAGTCAAGAGTCAGTTCTTTTATCTTATTAATATTTTATTATAAACGAGCATTTCAGAATGACTCTAGTCAATGGGATTTTTGATGAACATATCAAAACTGTGCATGCTTCAGGTTGTAGTGGTAACTCTTCTCTTCAGCAATTTCAGTCTCCAGACATATTCACTCAACATAACCCTACCAAATAAAAATAACAACCTCTAAATCAACAAGTGCTGAAGTGCTTAAAACACCTTTTTAACAATAATTTTTTTTAAAATCAATATTAAAACTAAACTAATATAAACTAATTATTTAAAATATAATGACAGTAAATAATTTTATTTATCATAAATAACTATTTTAAAATTATTTTATTATATAATAATTAATTACTTATTTAATTATAAATATTAGCTATTTATTAGTTGATTGTAATTTTTATTTAATAATTTAATCTAATTATAATAAAATTGATTTATGATGATAAATTAGATTAGATAATTAAAAAAATAATTAAAATAAATATTTAATTTTTTATTAATATTTATAGTATAATAATATTTACAAAATCTCAAATTTATTATATAATATTTTAAAATATAATATATTAAATTATAGTATTTATCAATAATTTAAATATTTCTATTTTTTTAAAATAATAAACTATTCATTTTATTAAATTTTAATTTACTATTTTAAATTAAAAAACAAGATGAAATAAGAACAAAATAAAAAGAAAGAGGAAAAAAAACACTAAATCATAGAAAAATAATAATATAATGAGTAAATAAAGAGAGAATAAAATAATAAAATACTTATACTATATTAAATAATTTTTTTTATTATTCAAAATTTTTAAAATATTTAATATTTTATTAAACTTTTATTATGTATGTATAAAATAAAATATTATAAGAAATTTTATTTTATAATATATTTTTTTATAAAAAATGTATAATCAAAACCCTAAAATCCAATTATATGTAATATATTTATATAAATTCATCTGAATTTTTATTGAATGGTTAAATGAAAACAATGTTACATTTATTAAATTATCAAAAAATTTAATATAACTTTAAAAGGACTACCAAATTTTTAACAGTTAACAAAATTATATATACTAAACTACGTGTTTTTAAAGATAGGAGTGAAAAATACAAAGTTTTGATAAGGAAAAGAAAAATATAAAGTTTTTGTGTGGAAGAAGTAAATAAAAAATTTGAATATATACATGGGTGATATTTGTAGAACAATACAAATTTAAATAATTTTTTTAATTTAAATAATGACATATTTTGTTATCATCAATTTATAATAAATTTTAAAAAATATTATATATATATATATATATATATATATATATTTTAAAGAGGTTAAAAATATAAGTTACTTATGAATCTTTACTTATAAATAATTTGTTATTTTTTATTCATTAAAAATATTTATTTTTTTTTATAAATTTTATACTTTTATATTTAAAACTTGATTTTATAATTTTATTAAAAATTTATACATTTTTATAATTAAAACGTAAAATAAAAAATATATATTTTTTAAAAGGATTTATCCCTTTAAGTAAAAATCCTTTTAACTTAACATTTGAATAGTGGCAGAAACAAGAGACATTTTTTCCAATTTAATTCAGTGGAAGAGCAAAACGTTTTCCACTTCCCTACACTGCGCCGCGCTGTATCAAAGAGAGAACCCTAGAAACCAAAATCTCCTTTCTGCTATTTAATTCAGTGGAAGATTAAAACGTTTCTTACTTTCCACTGCCCTACTCTGCGCCGCACTGTATCAAAAAGAGAACCCTAGCAACCAAAATATCTCTTCTGCATACTCTGCCTCCATAACGACAACACCGTCGTCTCTGCAATCATGGCGGACGTCATGGTAATGAAGGAGATTGAAGACACGGCGCTACGTCTCGGCGTCGATATCTCCACTCTCGATCTTGATTCCATTCGTCTTCCTCCTGGAGAAAATTACGGAATCGTCAGGTATCGATTTCGTCTTCAGCAACCATATTTTTGTTCTGGCCACTGAACCGAATGAATGCAGTCTTCTTAGGCTTTTCTTTTTTGTTGCACCGTGTAGCGATGACGAGGAAGTTTACCTGGAGGATAATCTCGAGTTCGAGTCTGGATTTGGCAACATCATTGTTGTGGATAACCTACCTGTTGTACCGAAGGAGAAGTTTGAAAAGCTCGAAGGAGTTGTTCGAAAAATTTATAGTCAGATTGGTGTTATTAAAGAAGATGGCCTTTGGATGCCTGTTGATCCTGAGACTGATAAAACCCTAGGTTATTGCTTCATTGAATACAATACTCCTCAGGTATATTCGTCTTTTCTTCAGTTAAGTGTCAATTTGTTTGAAATTTATATGACGAACAAAGCCATTAAAAAACATCGTTTATAATATTTTAAAGGTAAATTATTACTATAATTAAATCATAGGAATGATGCATTCCATATTGTCAAATATATACTTGCTAGAATTGAACGAAAGTTAAAGAAAAATTATTAAAGTGCAGGGCACACTATCATAGTGAATAATATATATCATTCATTGCAAATTGGCATCTCCATTTATCTCCTTTGATAAAGGTACAGTCGAAATAATTATAGGATAATATAATTATTTGCTTTAAACAATTTCAATTTTAATTATTTAATTTCCCCAACATATATTCCTATATATGCTATATCTGTGATTGAAAAACTTCAAAATCTTTGCACATGCTCAAAATAATATGAGGAGACTAATAGATAGTTAGTTCAGGGGCATATGCCTAATTTCCTTTAAACAATATTGTTTAGAATTTGACACTTGTGTTTGTATGAAAATATGTTGAGTGAGCTAATCCTATAAGCGAATGTTCCTACTTTAAATAGGATTCTTCTAATGAAAAATATTATTGATCAAAAGAAAAAAAGAAGTAAGAAAAACTTATTTTAATAACCTTGGATTTTGAGTTTGGTTAATGAGATTTTAATAGATAGCCCACCACATAATATATTATTTATTCAGAATGTGGTGACATTTTAAAGGTTGATGTGCGTGCCTTTATGATGTAATTACTTTTTAGCCAGATAATTATTTAGTATTATGCAGAGCTAAAGTGATGGTGGTTCAATGAATTGAGAGAGTTGTACACCACTGGAAGAAGTCGATATTGTAGCTTTTGTAAAAGTAAATTTTTTATTTGGTTTTTGACAGATTGAAGGAACATAGCACCTACACTCTCATAATTTGAATATGGCTCATCTACTTTAAGTATTTTTAGTTATTTTTGTTTGGCACTATGATGATGATTTAATTTTAATTTTTAGGAAGCAGAACTTGCTAAGGAGAAAACCCATGGATACAAATTGGATCGTGCACATATATTTTGTGTGAGCATGTTCGATGATTTTGACAGGTTCATGAAGGTTCCCAATGAGTGGGCTCCTCCTGAGACTAAGCCGTATGCTCCTGGGGTAATGTTTATATATGTATATATAACTTTTTTTTCTTCTCTTTGCCTCTTAGTATTATATACTGTTAGGCTGTATTATTGTTGTATAAATTACTCTTGGTCCTAACTTTTGCGTGGTTAGCCCTGCCTTGCTTTTAAGTTGGTTCTGTGCATATTTTATTTTATAATCATGTGGATTTGTCAATACAGTTTATACAGCATCTGTTTATACAATTTGTGCATATTATACAGCATCTGTTTGTATTTAGTTATGATTCAGTTGCTTTCACACTGGAACCACTTAGCTTTTTATACAATATCTGTTTGTATTTAGTTATGATTTAGTTACTTTCGCACTGGAACTCCTTAGCTTATTGATATTTCTGAAGATCTGTTGTTTTTTCATCTCTTACAGGAAAATCTTCAACACTGGCTAACTGATCCAAAGGCCAGGGACCAGTTTGTTATTCGTGCTGGTTCTGATACTGAGGTTTTGTGGAATGATGCAAGGCATTTGAAGCCTGATCCTGTTTATAAGCGTGCAGTGAGTAGAATTTCATATCAGCATTTTGTTCTATTTAATATTTATTAGCGCCTACCTTTACCTGATTGTGCAATGTTACTGGCCTGGGTGCTCATTTACTCATTTTTAATTGCAGTATTGGACTGAAAGTTTTGTCCAATGGTCTCCTCTGGGGACATACTTGGCCACAGTTCACAGACAGGGTGCAGCTGTCTGGGGAGGTTCTACAAGCTTTAACAGGCTTATGCGATATGCACATCCTCAGGTTTTCTTTGAGATTTATTCTGTATCATTGTTTGGCACTTGGACTTTGGCTTTCTTATTTTTACTAATGATTATTTATATTAATATTAAACATAGGTAAAACTTATTGATTTTTCACCTGGTGAAAAGTATCTGGTAACTTATAGTAGCCATGAACCAAGCAATCCTCGGGATGCCAATGTAAGTGCTTCTTTCTTTGTTTTGGTTTTTGTTTATTTTATAGTATTTTAGACTTTATTGCTGACTCTGACTTGTTTTGTAGAGGGTTGTGATTAATATATTTGATGTGAGAACTGGCAAAGTGATGAGGGACTTTAAAGGTAGTGCTGATGATTTTGCAGTTGGAGGGGCTGGGGGTGTCACAGGTGTTTCGTGGCCTGTTTTCAAGTACTATTTATTCTTTATTTTGGTCTAGTTCATGCAATTATATTAGCATCTGCCTGGTGTCTAATGCAGTAGTTCATTAATATCTGTATTTACAGATGGAGTGGTGGAAGAGATGATAAATACTTTGCAAGGATGGGAAAAAACATACTATCTGTGTATGAGACAGAGACCTTTTCTCTCGTTGACAAGAAGTCCTTGAAGGTTGAAAATATAATGGATTTCTGCTGGTCTCCTACTGATCCAATTATTGCTCTCTTTGTCCCTGAGATGGGGGGTGGTAATCAGCCTGCAAGGGTAAGTTTGTGCTTTTCCTTTCTTTTTATGCACATGGATTGAAGTTGTTCTACTTGGTTATCATACTTAATGAACATATTATTTATCAACTATTTTAAATAAATGTTCCTTTACATTCATATAGGTAAGTCTGATTCAAGTCCCCAGCAAAGAAGAACTCAGGCAGAAGAACCTTTTCAGTGTCAGTGACTGCAAGATGTACTGGCAAAGCAATGGAGACTACCTTGCTGTCAACGTAGAACGCTATACCAAAACGAAAAAAAGCACATATACAGGCTTTGAGCTTTTCCGTATAAAAGAGCGAGACATACCAATTGAAGTATTGGAGCTCGAGAATAAGAATGATAAGATCATTGCATTTGCTTGGGAGCCTAAAGGCCATAGGTTTGTGGTTATTCATGGTGATAACCCTAAGCCTGATGTAAGCATTTATTCCATGCGTACTGGTCAGAACAGTCGAGTTTCAAAACTCACTACTCTGAAAGGCAAGCAAGCAAATGCTCTATTTTGGTCGCCTGCAGGTCGATACATTGTACTAGCTGGATTGAAAGGTTTCAATGGGCAGTTAGAATTTTACAATGTTGATGAACTTGAGACCATGGCTACTGCCGAACATTTTATGGCAACTGATATAGAATGGGATCCAACTGGAAGGTATATGATATGTATGAATGATTAATGATATTGGTGATAAATGTGGTTCAAAGAGTAATTTTTGGTAAAATCAGATTGAAATAATATTTACCCTAGGCACTAACGAAGTTTTCGATTTGTCACTTTACTGAAAAGGTACTTTTATTATTTGTTGATTATTACAAGCTTATATTGCATTCTCTTTATACTGCAGGTATGTTGCAACGGCTGTGACTTCCGTTCATGAAATGGAAAATGGTTTCAATATATGGTCTTTCAACGGCAAGCATTTATATCGAATTCTTAAGGATCACTTTTTTCAGGTACTTCATCTGCATCAGTGCATTTTTTGGCGATTGTCGCATATTACTAGGTTATATGGAATGATGTGTGAATGTATAATGTTGAATTGATAGGTTTGAACATTGCAATACCCCATATCTGAATCTATTTTTTGGTAGTATAATTTTTTATGATAACAGTATGTTGCTGTAATCTTTATTGCTAATCTGAATGTTGTTTGGATCAATCGCTTTTTCTTATCTGTCTTTCTTTTACTATATAGTTTTTGTGGAGACCAAGGCCACCATCTTTCTTGAGCTCCGAGAAAGAGGAGGAGATTGCCAAGAACTTGAAGAAGTACAGCAAGAAATATGAGGCAGAAGATCAAGATGTTTCGCTGCTGCTGAGTGAGCAAGAGCGTGAGAAGCGGAGGATGTTGAAAGAAGATTGGGACAAATGGGTCAATGACTGGAAGCGGATGCACGAAGAAGAGAGCTTATATAGACAAAAGCTTAGGGACGGCGAAGCTAGCGATGAAGAGGAAGAATACGAGGCTAAGGATATTGAAGTGGAGGAAGTCATCCATGTATCAAAAGAGGTTCTTCACCTTGAGTACGGCCAAGAATGAGATTTATAGTTTTTGACTTGGACCATAACATTTTATTTTATAGTTCACTCATTTCTGTTGCCTGCACAGAGATATGTTTATTTATTTTTTATTATTGTATGTAGATGTGATTGAACATTCTCGTTGCCTGCACTTGAGGGGGTGTTTTTGAGTAATTAATTTTAGCTTATTGAATTAGCTTTACAAGTATATCATTCAGCTTTTTACTCAACATTTTTCAAAATATATTATAATTTATTTTTAAGGAGGCTAAAGTCGTTTTCTGAATAATTTCAGATTTTATTACAATTTTTTTAGGAGATGTGTAATTGAGTTATTCATCTTACACATATCATTGATCTTTGAAAAAAAGTGAAATCATCTTTGCTAACTAGTTTTTTAATCTATAACTTACATTATGTTTTTACTGAAATACATTAAAATTAATAAATAGAGCTTTTTAGAGTACAAGAATTGAAAGATATTTTGTAAGAAAGCATTGAAAGATATACTTGTTACATATTATCGATGGAAAAAAAATAATTAATCGGTTGTTCAATCATAAATTGTTTTTTTTTTATATATAAAGTGATTTTCTTTAGAAAACAATGATTTCATATAAATAATAGTTATAAATGAAATGGTTAAATTTATTAACATATTATCATATATACATATTAGCAATATATATGCATATTATAAATAATATAAGACATTTGTATATGTAAAATTTAAATGAAGTTTAAATCATTTTGTGATGTTACTTCAATGTAAATTATTTAATAAAAACGACCTCTTTACAATATATTCATATTCTTTTCGAAGCTAAACTATAATTTGTTAGTATAAGTTAAAAAATAAATCAATGCCTATGAAAAAAACTTTGTAAGGATAAAATAGTACTTTTCTCTGCACAAACAAAAGTGGCAAGTTCGTTTGAATGAAAAACTAATAAAGAACAATTAACAAAAAAAAATATGTTAGTTATGTATATATTATTTTTCTAAAATAATCTTCAAAATATCTAAGTATTTTTTTTCCACATATGTTACCTATTTATATTTGTTAACCATAACTTACATAAATGTTTCCTTCATGTTTTATTTTAAAAAATGCATTCAATATCTTACTTCAACGTCCATTGAAACCGCTATTTTTATTTTTCTTACTTATTATTATTATTATTTATTTGTTAAGTTTAGTTTATACTAAATAAATAAATTATTAATATGCCAAATTTATAGAAATGTGAACATACGCTAATAAAAAAAATGAGAATATATTATTTATTAAGTTTGATTGTTCTTTTTTTGAAAAAGAAAAACTAATATTTTTAAACCAATTTTGTTTGACTTAGTAGGACTCTCGGGAAATTCATAAGAAAAGAAAAGAACACTTAAATACTCTTTGTTAGCCATTTTATTGGCAGTATGTTTCAGAGGCGGTTGAATATACTTAAAGAACTCTTCATCAAAAAAGAGAAAAATATTTTTTCTATTTTCTTTCTCTCTCTAATTCTTTCATCATAAATTTGAAGAAAAAAATAAATTTCTTCATTATATATGATGCATTTTTATTTTATATATTTGTCGAATATTTAAATGAATGAGATGAAGAGAAAAAGATAAATGAAAGCTTAAAAGTGAAGGAAGATTTTAATCTTCCAAATATTCCAAATATTTCAACTCTATGTTAAGTAAAAACAATATTGTATTGATTGATTGCGTGTTTAATAGTGTTCAATTTTGTTATTGGCACATAATAACTTTATTTATTTTTCACTTTTTATCCTTATATGTAGATAGATACATAAAAAGAAAGAAAATAAAGAATTCATTTTTTTATAATTTAATTATAAACTAATTATAACAATAATTACTATAATCAATCAATTATTAAAATAGTTTAATTTGAAACACACTTCTTCACGCAAGTGCATGTTACATATGCTGGTTAAAGAATGGTCAAGCCATTGACTGGGCTATTGAGCTTGTAACCCTTTTTGTTGGTGAAATAATTAAACTAACTTTTGTTTCGAAATCTTCATTTACACTCTTCTATAGGCCTGCGAGAGTTATTATTTTCTTATAACTCATATTTTCTCCATTCTCATTCTTACCATTATTCACCAAAGTGCATCTCTACTTGAGTGAGTGGAGTTTAACACTCTTTCTCTCTCTCTCTCACACACCTTTTTCTTTTCCATCACTCAATTCTCTTGAACACCATCCAATATATTAGGCCACTATAGATAGCTTTGGCAACGCATATGTTGTGTAGTTGACTATGCATATCAAGTGAGTTAATTAAGTAAACTAAACAAGTCCAAGGAATCTTTTGCAGTGCCTGAGCAACAAAATCCAACGCCACCTTCAAAAGCCACGAGTTGAAGTTGAGTCACAATCAACTCACCTTTTTTGTTGTCCTCTCTTGTATTTGATCTCGCTTAGTGAATTTCACGGTTTTTCATATACTTTAAACAAGACTAATACTGTCATTATTATTATCTTATTACCACAAACAAGCGTGGATTTGTGTTCTAAACCATGAAGTCAACCATATTATTGTGTATGTATACTTTGTGTGATGCACGACGAATGGTTTGGTTTAGACAATGTTATGATGACCTAGTGATTTGTAGAATAATAAAACAAACAGATAGAGTTATAGATTTCAACGTTGGCATAGGGACCGGGTTTGGAAAGAAATGGTATCTGTGAAAGAAGACGAGGGTGAAGTGAAGTGACGAGTAAATTTCCAAGTACTAGCAAACTAACTTTTATTCCTCCACCATGATCAGTGACCACTGCTGAGGGTGGTCCTGTTTTTGTAAATGCTTAAGCTCTATGTGCAACTTCGTGCCATTTCTTGGGGACAGGTCTTAACTACGTGATAAAGACGCATCATGTGTGCAAAGAGGATTTCATGCGCAGCGATTGTGATTATACATAAACTCAACCATTTTGCTAGATTACAAAGTTAGGTTGTCATTTTGCTTGTGATTGTGAGAATTTTGCGAGAGGAACAGAACTTGGTACTGTTTATTTGATTCCCTTTTTTATGTTAAATGATCAAGTTTTTTTTTTTTTTTTAATGTCGTTTTTGTATGAAGTCGACCATGACATTGCCAAAATGTAGCTGTAGATCTCATCATGGAGGGATTTAGTATTGTGATGTTTTGACTTCCTAATTGTTTCTTTAAAAATATAGTCCTTTATTGTATCATAGATTTCATATAGTTTATTTAAAATTAGAGAAATTTATTTAAAATTGAGTAAAAGTTATTTATATAAACAGTTTGATTAATTTTAAAAAATTCATGTATATAATAAAATAAAATTTTTATTCATTAATTTTTGAATGCATTATATTTTAGTCTTAAAAATATAATACAATATTGTTTACTTTATTAAATTTTCAAATTATTATCTAAAGTAATAACCCGCAAGCAAAATTATTTTAATAAACTAATGACATTAAAAATATAATCTACTTCACTTTATACGAACATTATTGTATTTAAATATAAAAAAGTTAAGAGAAGAGAGATATACGAGAGAATAAGAAAAAATATTTTATAAAATTTAAATAGTTTTATTTATAACTTTTTTTTAACTTAACAAAAAACTATTAAATTTTTTATTTTACCTAGGATGGCAAAGCGGGTTAGGCCTGACGGGCAGGCCAGCCAGACCGTCGTAATATGGTGGGTCGGGTTGGTGTTTTCAGCCGCTTTGGCTGCCTGCTAAGCCAGTCAACCCGTCGGACCAACCCGCGGGATCGGGGCGGACCAACTCGCAGACTCGCCTAATTAATAAAAAAATAATTTTTTATTGTAATAAAATTAATTATAAAGATAATATATAAAGTTAAAAATTTTAAAAAGAGAATTAAAAAAGTTTCATTCTCACATAAAATATTCTCCTTCTTGAAACATAATATTCTCTCCTCTTCTCCTTGTTTATCCTAAGACCGATTATTTTTATCTTTATTACTTGAATTAAAGGTGTAAGAATTACTCAACCAAAAATAACATGAAGTTTTATCAAATAAAAAAGATATAGATATTTAAATTTTTCAATATAAAAAATATAAATTTTATAAGTTTAACGTTATATATATATATATATATATATGTTATTATTTATTATTATGTAAATTTTATTATTGTTCTAAATTATAATTTCTTAAAATAATGTATTGATTTATATTACTAAATTGAAATAAAATATATATATATATATATATTGAATTATTGACAAACAAATAATAATTTTATTATTAAATTTATTAAAAAAAATTATTTTAAAAAAATTATTTTTTTCTAAATTATAGCAGGCCAAGGTCTATAACTTGTCATGACTATATCGGTCCAACTCGCCTCGCCCCACTTTTAGCGGGCCAAAGCGTAGGCAGTGACCCGTTTTGCCATTCCTAATTTTAGCACATCATCTCTCCTCTAGAATAAAGGGAAACCCAATCTTTATAATTATAAATATATTTTACTTAAATAAAATAAAAACAATTAAATGATATTACATCTTTAATAATTTTCCATATAATATTTTTTTTACTATCTAACAGTTGAATTATAATTATATCTTACGTTCTATTGTGTATTTCAAGTTAAAAAACCAATAATATGATAATTAAATGACTCATATTGATATATATTTTAGCTATGCATTATATTAATTTATATATATATATAATATAAAATCAAATCAAATAATTTTAGATTAATATTTTTTTAAATATAATCTGAGTGATAAAAAATTTCGATGTAATTAGGATATTTGAGAATAAATTGTATAATATAATAATTGTTAATATCATTTTATCCTTTTCCGAATAAAATTATATTTTGAAAAGAAATACATGGCCACATAAAAAAAATTGGCATTCAAAATAAGAAAGAAATTATGGTAAAATGTAGTATGTTTTGGTCAGTCAAAAATAGGATAAGGTGGATTGACTCATTTATGTATCAAAACAACGAAAGAAATTATGGGAAAATGTAGTCTGCTTTGGTCGGTTAAAAATAGGATAAGATGGATTGACTCATTATAATCATGACGAATTATAGACCTTGATCTGCTCCACTAAAAGACTAATTAGTACGGTAAACAGATTACTTGCCATAATTTAAAAAAAGTTTTAAATCAAAATTTTTAATAAATTTAATAATAAAATTATTATTTATTTATCTATAATTCAATATATATATATATATTTCAAATTAATAATATAAATCAACACATTATTCTAAAAATTTATAAATTAGAACAATAATAAAATTAATATAATAACAAATATATACAAAAAAAATTTATATTTTTCATATTAAAAATTTTAAATAATTATAACTTTTTTATTTGATAAAACTTCACATTGTTCTTCCATTAAGTAATTTTTACATCTTTAATTCAAGTTACAAGAATAAGAACAAGATAAAAATCAGGATAAACAATAAGGAGAGAAGAATTTGTGTTTGAATAAGAATGTTTTTATAATAAATAAGAATAAAACTTTTTTAATTTTTTTAAAATTTTAACTTTATATATTATCTTTATAATTAACAATATTATAATAAAAAAATATTTTTTATTGATTAAACAAGCAACGGATTGATTCGTCTTGTCCTTCCAACATATGAGAACGAACTGAAAAACTAAAAATACAACTCCACCACATCATATAATAGCGGACTAATAAATAGACCTGCCACATACCTGACGCGTTTATCATTCCTAATAAAATGATTAAAATTGTAAAATCTAAACTAACAAAACAACGTCAAATAATTAAAATATAATTTAATAGTATTTATATGGACTAAAACGACATTTTACCCATTTTAAAACTCGTTTTTGTATGTGTTAAGAAACACTAGGTTAAAAATAAAAGAGATGCCATATGCCAAACAAAGTCCTAATCTTTTAGTACTAAAGCACATAATAGTAAGGAAAATCTTGATTGGATTTCTCGTTTTAAAATCACCCAAAAGAAAGAACAAATTTTTTGTATTGCAACAAGGAGATGAAAAAAAAATGGAGAGAAATATAATAAGGAAAAAAACATGTAAAAAAAGAATATTATACATTAATAATTAAAAATGTAAAACAGTTTTACAATTGCGTATGGAAAAAAATTATGCTTCAAATGTAATTGTCGTAATAATAGTTTGAGGATGATGAGTGTTTGAGGACATTGAATTTGAAAACAAGACAGCACGCAACAACACAGTCTTCTGTTGTGATCACCAAAGACTATGAACCCCACCCAAAGACACGGCCCTCAGTTGTAGAGTTTAACCACAACCCAGGTGAGCTTTGTCTCTTCCCTTTTTCTTTCATGCTCCTTATTCATAAGCCCCGCAACAAATCCTAAACCTTGCGCTCACTTTAAGAAATGGGAATCCTCCAAACTTTTTCAAAACAAAAGCCTGTTCTCGTCTCTTCTCTCTCATCTTTCATTTCAATTTGGTTTTGGTTAAGTTGAGACTTGAAAGGTGCGTGAGTGTGATTCCCGCTACTGCTTTGACCCGCTTTTTCTTCCATTTCTCTCTTTCTCTCTCATCCCACTACTTCCCTCAGACATCACATGCATTTGCAATTTACAAAAGCAGGGTTTTTTCTTTTTTAAAAAAGCTCTATAACTAGTAGAAACTATAATGGTATGGGGGCACTCTTTCCTGCGCTTACTCACGCAGATAAAGAAGATTCATAATTCTGACAGTGACTCCTCGTCAGAGATAACAGAGCACCACATTCAAAAAAATTCCCTTTTCTTGTTGTCCTCCCTCTGCTCTGCACACACACACTGCAAAACAAAACATACACATCTTCAAAAATCCATTCTCTGTCTCCAACTACACAGCAACAGCAACAGCAACCCCTTTACTCAAGATTCCGTTTTTTACCTCATAGCCTTTTCAACTTGTCCAAAATTTCAATTTTGGAATCGTTTCTTCCCTTCACGTGATCCGGGTTTCTTTCATATAAAGTTCAACTCTTCCCAGACCCGACTATATTTTTCCCCTTTTAATAATTCATCCATCAATTGTTTCCATTGAATTATCGGAATTCCTTTTCATGAATTTTGATTCAGAAAATGCCTTGTGGGTTTTCAATTTTCAATTGCTGTGTGATGGATGGATAGTTTCTATTGTTTTTTAAATTTGTGTGTAATAAATATCTTGTGGCTGTCATGGGTGGTGATGGTAGAGTTGAAGTTGTAAGTGGCAAGGGGTGTTCGAGGCTGTTTTCATCTTCACTTCCTTCATTCAGAGGTTTGCAACCGTTGGAGCCAATGTCTCCCATTTCGTCCTCTGTGCAACTGCCATCATCAACTGCTCCTTTTGCTAGGCTTGTCATATGCGTCACTGGTTTATCTAAAGGTGTGCATTCATTCATGTATTATCCAAATTTTCACCTTTGGTTGGTTAGATTTAGTTTTGTTTTCCTGGCTTTACACTTTCCACTACTTTTTCTTTTCTTTGTTCCTCCAACCTTTCTGTTTGTATCAACCAATTGCTTCAAGTTATTGGCTTGATTCTGCATAAATGTTTTCATAGCATTCTATTTGCTAAAGATTGAACCTTATTTTCTCCATCGAGAGGCTATGGATGGGTGAATGGTGGTTGTCCTTTTTGTCAATATGAGTTGTCAAATGAAACATATTTGGACCTCTGAATTAAGACTTCTGGTGTCTGCCAGTTTTATCTTTAACAGTGAGCAAATGTAAGAAAGGATTGAGAAACAAAAGGGGTCTGTTTTATACTCTCTATTTGGTTGATAGTAATTAGTGCATGTTTTCATGAATGCTATCTTCATCTGTTCTCTTCTGTTTTGTCTTGTCTTCTTGGCATAAAATTGTTCATGTAATTTGCTGAAAAGGTGTAGTTTGAGTTACCAGTGGATCTGATAGTAGATATTTTGTGCCTTCTTTGTTTCTCTTCTTTCTCTTTCTGTGACAAGTTAAAGAGATATACAGTGTGTTGTTTATTTTGGGTTGGTGATTGGCAGAAGCAAGGAATCAGGTCATGGAGGCTACAGAGAGATTAGGTGGCCAGTATAGCCCCAATTTGCATCCTCAATGTACCCATTTGGTGGTTCAGATATCCTTTTCTCTGTCATAAATTTTACGAATTTTCCTACATTGTTATAGTAATAGCATGATGCTGTAGTACGAAGATGTAATGCTCATATACTGGCATACACTGATTATACACCCTATGGGAAAGAAATTCTTTTCCAATTCAGAAAATATTTTTTTACTTGGTTGTGTCAGAGAACAAAGTGTCGTACCTTATCAATTCCTATTCTTTATTTAAATTTATTTGTACTGAGTTCAGAAAGATGTTATGCAACTAATGATCATAATGATTGCTTGTGGTCCATTATCATAGCATTGACATTCATCCAATCCATTTTGTGTTGTCTGGTTCAGTGCTATCATGAAATCTTTAACGTCTAGTACAGTTTTGGTGGACGCAAGTTTGAGCATGCGCTGAAGCATGGAGCAAAAAATGGGCTTTTTGTCGTCACACTGGGTTGGTTCGTGGATAGTGTCAGGAAAAATGGTAATTGACTTCAACTGTTTTCAATTGACATGTTTCAGATTTTGGTTAGCTTTCTTGGTGATTATGATTCATCCCTCATGTTGTAGAGTCACACAATACAGGAACCTGACACAACTTTCATATTTTGCATCTTTTTAACTCATGTTCAAGCACTCAAAGGAATACTTTAATCTTATTTATCAAACTACACATTCTTGTTGTAATTACAGTCAGCAGCGTAGTTTTTGGTGATTTTCTGGTTACACATTTCTGCACATTCAGAGAATGAGTGGTTGGTTAAGCTTTAATTGATACATATACCTTGTTATTTCATTTAACATTTTAAATCAAAGAATCCATTGGATTTGTCGTATCAATGACATCTTGCTGCAATGGATCAAAATATCATAAATAATCCAGTAAGGAACACTCATCTGTGGTCTCTAAGGTCATACAGATTTTCATTTTTAATGAGTAATTTTACTTTTCATCTTCTTTAGCTCTCTATCTGGAATTATGCAAGTTTATATTTGTAGTTGTTATAACCTGAATACATTTTCTTGTATCTGCTGCAGTGAGGTTGAGCGAATCACATTATAGAGTGCAGAGTTACGGGGATAACAACATGAACATGGAGGATTTTAGACTGCTTCCTGAGTGTACAAATGCTGAAAATCATTGTCTTCCTGCAAGAATCCACCAAGCCAAGAAAGCTAATAGTGTTGAGGAAATTCAAAGATTCTCTGTGAGAGAGTCTATCAGAAATTCGGACTCAACTTTGTCTGGGTGCTCCATCTATGTTGATCCAAGCATTTCAACTGAGTTGCGGAACAAGGTAAAATTGTGTTTCTGAGAACAAATAACTAGATATTTTGTGATCATACTAGCTATATGTGAATTCTTTCACATGATATGGAGTCTCTTGAACAATATTCAGTGTCAGTTCCTTGTTGTGTCAGCTAGTGTATGATTCCAGTGCTCTTTGCCAAGCCATTTTATATACTTTGCATTGTTTGATAGGTTACTGAGACTGCTTCAAGAGAAGGTGCTAGTTTGGTGGAGCAATGGTTTGTTGGCTGCAATGTTAGTCATGTAGTAACTGAAGGGACATCAATCCAAAGATATCTTGGATACTCTAATAACCTCATCACAGTAAGTCCTCCGACATTGTGTTTTAATATTTATCTACTCATAAGAAAGACCTTCTGAAGGGCTACAACTTTCTGCAGCTCAAACTGTTTGCTTCTCCTACTATTTTGCCTTTTTATTTTAGCAGCACAACTCTTCAACAACATTAATATGCTATTTAATTGTTATACATTAGGTAGGTTCTGCTGTATTATTTATATCACGTTGAAGTTCTTTGTGTATGATATGTCTCAGCCTCTGTGGATTCTCAAAACAGCTAAGGAGAAATATGTACGAAGGCTTGTTCACATGTCTGTTGATTTGGCAAAGCAAGTTGGCCTGATGCTTGAAGACGTTGAAAATGGCATTTCTAGAAAGGTAATTTCTCAATATATTCCTTTACAATTTTGAAATTATTTTTTTCTTATTTTCTATTGTGCTTTCCATCTTAGTAAAACATTTTCAATCTAGTTCTTAAAGAATTTGTTGTAGTTGCTAAAGCCCTAGGTTCTCTACCTTGTGAAATTATAATATGAATTTCATTGAACTAGCAGGAAGTAGTAAAGCAAAAAGTCTCTGACATTCCTGTGGATATTGAAAGTGAAGTTGGCTATGAAGAAAGACAACAAATTGTGAACTGTGCAAAAATTGGAGTCAGAAATCGCCGTGGTCGTCGAATGCAGGTGTTCCTTTGATTCTGTTCTGTTTACTCTGTAGGGCTTGCTCTTGATACCCTACATGTTAGGCTCTCTAAAAAATGAAAGTCTTGTTCTATTATTTTTCCTGTTCCTAATTTAGTTGTATGTTTTAGCTGTTAGCAACTTCACTAAATTTGTTGCTTTTAGTCTATTACTAATCAAGTGATCTGCTGAGATCATAATTTGGCACGTTAGTTTAGAGAAGTCTTCTTCACACTAGAGATTTCAATTACCACATATAACTTGGGCAATTGGAAGATTCAATCTCAAGCAGGATTATCCACTCTTTATTTTCTCACCCATTTCAAATAGGGCAAATTACATTGACCCACTCATTGGTTTGTTAAATTTGATATTCTTGTGTTTTTTAATGCCAATACCCACTTAATTATTTGAAACACATTACACCAGGTACTCCTGTTATCCAAAAGAACACATTACATCATGTGTCCCTATGAGGAGAGTTATTGTAAATTTCACAACTGAAGGGTATTGTTTGAGTTGTCAAGAAATTACAAGGGATATCAGTGTATTTTTCCCTTTCAATAGCAATGTTTTGCATCAAAGTGTTGAGCTTGGAAATTTTTGATCCATATAGCATTTAAAACTTGGATGTATGAGAGGACACAATGTGATAGAATAATACCCATTTGTTGACATTTCATGGTTTCGTGTATAGAGGGTCAACTGACCAGACAACAAATGTGGAAAAGACAGAATCTTGTTCTAATGCTTGATTTAATTGGTGATATGGATTGATAGACTATTTGATTTGAACATGATTTTGCAGACTTGTCAGACTCCAATACGTCCTATAACACCCAACAACCTTCTAGACTCTATCTGCTGGTCTATATCTGACCCAACTTCAACCGCTTCCATCTACACAGACTCTTTTAGCGTTGAAGATCCTAGTGAAAATCACACTTCAATATTTTTCGACGCAAAAGGGGATGGCAAGGATTCAGAAGCCTCATTTTCAAACTCCACTCGTCCTCTGACAGAAAGGTAGTTATTAACTCCCTATGGCTTGTGTTAAACCTTTTCCTTGTGTAGTAAGATATTACAAAATTATTGTCATTCTTCCAATATTTTCTGAACATATTTTGCAGTGAGAAATCCGAGCTGATATTCAAAAACCATTTCCTTTCCATACTCTTCCCAATTGACCGATTCGGCGAGATGGGTCCTTCATCAAGAACGTTTTTCAGTCATAATGGTTTTACGTGTCTTCAGGTGCTGGATCATATCCATGGATTTTATCAGGTACAATGTGTATTTTGTTAGAAACGTGCATGCATTATTATCACCTGTCTCTAAAATATGGTTTCTGTTTCTATCTACTTGATGTTATGATAGGAGAACATGTCAAGGCAGGAAATAGAAGTTGCAATTCATAGTGATTCAAGACACGCTGATAGGCTTCGATCAGTGTACTCAAGTAAGGAAACAACAGAACGTGGCTATGTAATGTTCAAAAGGGTTGAATTCTTGGGTAGTCGTACAAGTTTTGAAATGTTGAAGCGTGTAACTGGGGAAAACAACTCCAACGTGTATGAGCTATTACTTAGGGCCTAAGGTCATTTCATTTTACAAGGATTCCCCATCTGGGTATGAATGGCCAAAAAATGGGGAAACTTTAGCTTGTCAATAAAATAATGAGTGGCAAAATATGTTGGTTGTTGATGGTAATGTTTTCATTAATACTTAATTGTTATTTTTGTTATATTAGTTAGAGAGGAAAGGACAAAAGGATTTCAGTTATATTTTCTTAATCTCCATGTAAATTTATAAAATAATAAAATAAAGATACAGATTAGGAACGTTTGGTAATCATAATATGAAACAAAAACTAATATATTTGTGTTGCATGAGATATATTACTGGTAGTTGATCATTTAATTAGAATGAAATATGGAATGAGACTTTTTTCTCAAAAAATAAAAATGAATGTTACATAGCATCTTTTATTACAAGATGCATTTGACTTGGCTTTGCCACGTTTATATGATTAGAGAAACTAGTTACTTGGCTTTGCCACGTTTATGTGATCAGAGAAACTATATACAGAGAAATTAAACAGAGATTAATATCAATCCTTCAGAATTTGGTGGCTTTACTGCATGGAATGGATAATTGGTAATTAATATTTAACTATTTGAAATTAGTCATTCAAAAACAATTGTAATAACATTTATTATTATATAAAGAAATTGTCAGAATAATTTACAAACCACTTGAGAAAAATCCTTTATATCGAAGAAGGAAAGACCGCAACACTGAATGATGGCTAACCTCTTTATACTCTCTCTTAACGTATATGATGAGGATTGCAGCAATGTCTACAAATCATTCAGTGTCTTAATTTTACAGAGATGCTACCCAGTGTGGTATTCAATGTAAACAATTTGAACTAGAATAGAAAAACAAATTAAATAATAAAAATCTAAGTTATACTTGAGTTTCCAATAATTATTTCATTATTTTAAAATAACACACATAAAACAGTAGATTACTAACCATAGTAACAGATGGTAATATACTCAGTTGGTAAACCTAGCACACCCAAACTCAGCATTGTTTATTGGTGCAATTTTATTCTTTCAATTGCACAAGATATTACATTCATGTAATGTACATGCAATTTCCAGCTTCTAAGACATGATTAACAGTTTTATTTTTCCATAAAACCTATCTAACTCTGTTTTGAATTTTCTCTTCCTTCCTCAGAGAATGAAAAGTAAGGAAAGAAAAAGAAAAGGACTTGTACATGTTTATTCCTAAATCTTGTCAAGCACCACCTCGTTTTTTCAATCCAGTCTTTTTTGTTTCCTAATCATTTCCCTCTGGATCACATTACTAGCAACACTTTGCAACCCCAAAATACTGGGAACTAATGGTCCTCTACCATCAATCTGAGAATTTACCAGATTAATGGCACAAAACATCAGTTCATGTTTTTTGGGGGCACAAAATTGTAGTACTAGTCCTTCTCTTGTATTCTCTCCCTTCTTTTTCTCTTCACCCTTCACTATCCTTTCTCTTCCTCTAACTAGAAGGGGGAGGATCAATTTCAACTTTTCCTAGTTTTTGCAGCTCAAAGAGCATGTTAACTGCAGCAGAGTCAAAGGAGCTCTTCTTATCACTTCTAGCTTCTCCTTTGCAATCTATATTTCCATAGTTGGGTATGCACAGGGTAATTTTTGACACAAAACAGTTCAGTCCCTTGCTTCCTTGCAGGCCTTCACAGGATTCAAATAGAGATCTGTGCAGAATAAAAAACTAGTCAGATTCACACGCCATGGCATTATCAATTCTAGAACAAATATTCTTATCTGCACGTGTTACCCTACACACCATATATAAACAATAATATCATTTAAAGTATCCTTTTTTGCCATATGTAAGTTATGTTCTCCACATATAATACACCTACAAATCCTTCATGTAATTCCACAAGACAAAAATTCTATTAAGATTCAAGAAGTTCAAGCAATTGAATTGAATGTACAATTAGTTGCTGGACTCACCTATCTTTATATTCTGTTGAATCAAATGCAGGTACTGGCCACTGTAGTTTCCTACACACTTCATATAGTGTGGTCCGTGGTCCTCCCTTCTTCATATTAATTGATAAATTAACTGTGTAACATGAATAAAAAATGAAGTTAATCTATAGGTATTTAATAAGTTAACTCATTGCCTCTGGGTTTGAAAATAGCAGGGAATAAAAGGGTAAAAAATGCCAAAAAAAGACAAGCTAGAGAGAAAGGCCATTGCAACCCCTATATATATTCCACAAATATGATGATATCTGAATTGAATTTCTACTTTCTTAACTAGGTTCATAGAAACATCTACTCTACTACTGCACTCTCTTTCTATTCTTTTCACATCAAGCTGGAAAAAAATTTTGCTTTGAGATAGGAACTAAACCCATCAAACTAGCTTCTAAGAGCACTAACAGCATTATCTTTTATTTGATTTATAAATGTTACAGCAGGAGAGTGTGAGAAATTCAGATTTCTCACAGAACTGATATAGCTGATATTTTTCCATTCTTTCTAAAAACTTAAATAGGCAATGGATAAAATAGAGCATGAGAATAAGAAAATTGCATGATAGACAATGGAAATACACACGCCACTTCAATTTGCTCTAATTTGTTTGTTTCTTCTTAAAAAATCTAAACACTAAACAAGCAATACAAAAAAGCAAAGGGAGAAAGTTTCCCCGAAGTGGACACTGTCACTGGGATGACAAAACTTGCTATAAAAACTGGAGAAGAAATAATGGTGCAAACCTGGAATCGAAGCACTAAAACCAGGGTCGTCACTGGAAAAGTCCTTGAGAGGCAAAATACTATCAGTTGGGTTAGTTTCATCCAATTTCTTCCTTTTATGTGATACTGGTTCTGAGGAATGTTCTTCGATTTGAGTAAAACAAGCACTAGAATCCATTTTGAGATGAGATGAATCATTCATAGGGTCAGGATTATCTCTTTTTCCCTTGGAAATAAAATTACAATGCGAAATTCCCCGCTTCTGTAGTACAAAAGAAATACAAAAATTTAAATCCAATCCATAAAAACTTCTGAATTATGGTGAAAACTGTGCAAGTAAGGTGGACGGGACAAAAAACATCAAGGAAAACTTGTTACGCTATTTATTTTTACCTTGTTATCAAGTATGGAATCCTATCTGGTGACCTCTTTTTTCAGTTAAATAAGGTAGGCTATACAAATAGTTCAGTACTAGGGAAAAGAACAAATTTGAAACTACACAGGGACAAAGGCAAGTGAAATATTTTATAGATTTTGTTATAGCTTGGTCCTATATATGTTTTCTCTCGGGAGATTTTAAGCATGACCAAATTGGAAAGTTTATTTCCCTCATTTTTATATGTTCAGGTGAGAGCATATTTCTATAGTTTTCCATAGCTTCGTATTCATAAAAAAACATAGAAGGTTTTGGGAGTGCATAGATATTAGAAGAACCTTAAAACTAACAAAAGGGAAAAGAAATCCGGAACACAATCATAAAAGAACAAACCTCAAGATCCTTTAACAAATGAAAAGAAGCTTCTCCTTTTGCAGTTTTTTTATTTGCTCCCTTTCCTTCACGAACTAAAAGCTCATTTGGCAGCTGCACACTAACCATAACATGCACCATGGATCCCTTTTTCTCACCATTTTCATTTACTTTTACAAAATACCCAAGAGAATCACACAGTTCATTTAATTCACGAAATGGAGGCAATTCAAGTTTTTCAGGAGTAACTATGGGAGATAATAGAGGATAGAAAACGTCCCACACATCGCCAAGACTGAGCTTAGTATCAATTAGCATAGCCCCAACAATACTTTCCACTAGATCTCCAAGTGCCTGTGACATTTATAACAAAAATAACAATACTACAACTTTAGAAGAAGTTCGTCGTATATGTTTTGTGCCACGTGCTTCAGGAATTGTTTTTATTTAAAAGTGACAATCTCTATTTGGGAAAGTTATAAAATAGGACTTAATTTCAGTTTGTAAATCTTCTATATTCATGTTTGTGCATGTAGAAACCACTCAAATGTTTATTATATTTGAGCAAATTTGATTTAATTTTAATCCTATACTAATAAATATTTGATTATAAAAATTGCCTTTTTTGTTTACCCATTTTCTCCATTTTATGTGTGGGTAATAATAAAGTAAAATCAACAAAACAAAATGAATTTCGTTCATCTTTGTTTAATGTAGCAAATATGGAAAACAATTTGCAAATCAATGCTAATAATATTATTGTTCAGTGTAATTAGATATGTAGTTTGTAATTATATAAGATAAGAGAGTTTATATTTTATCTTTTAGATAAGATTACTTTATATTTTATCTTTTAGATAGGATGCGTTAATCTTTTACCTTTTAGATAGAATTTTTCTTTTCCCACATGCTATAATAATCCAATAATCACCAAAACTAACCTTGGGAGCTCTAATGCTTGGAAGTGATCTGGGATCTAATTCAGAAATAGCCTTCACATATTCTGATATCTGGTTCAGTAATAATCCTGAGCCATGTAGAAGGTGCTGGTGAAGGTTATGTCTAACGGCAACTTGAGCAAAATTGTCATTATTGACGGAAGCAGATCGTAAGTCAGTCAACACCCCTGGATCAATATCTGTGTGACTCTGATAAAGATGCCATGTGATAAGCAGGTCCAATACTGAGTCACCAAGAAATTCAAGTCTCTGCCACAAATTCAATAGGTTGTATTATAGGTGTATAATATTAAGAAACTTTATAAAATAAGTTCAATATCAATAAATTACTTAAGAATATATGAAACTTCAGAGCTACCTCATAACAGCAGCCAATTCCAAGTTCTTTCTCAGACAAATGAGTGATAGCCTCCAGTAGGAGTCCCTTGACAGAAAATTCATACCCAATTTTCTTTTCAAGACTTGCAATCTCACTTTCTTTTGGCACGCATGTACGCAAAGAGGCAGCAGTAATAGCTTCATCAACCAAGGATAGTTCAAGTTCAGTGCCAATCCCAAGCCATTTCATCACATTAAGTGATGCAAAGAGTCCACCACCCACATAATATGCTCCTATCAGAGCTTCGACGCAGTCAGCAATAGTCTTAGAACACATCCAGCGATGACCCCTGTCACAAAACTTCCCAACCACAACTTTTGGATCTTCAGTATGAAATTTTACATCTAAAGGCACTTCAAGAGTTTCCAATCCACAATCACAACAAACAAGGTGTATAGAACGCTGTCCTGGAGCAACCCATCGACGTGGTTCAAATGCAGAGTCTCGAATATAACCCTGACAGGTAAAATGACAAAAATCTCACATTAATTCATCACATTCTTGTCAACACTCCCATAATGATAACATTAAAAAGTAAACAACAAAAATAAGGTGGGAATTGCTAAAGCAGGATGGTCCACTGAACACTTTTCTCAAACTTATAATGTTAATCTTAGACTTTGGACATAATAATAACTCAATCCCAAACTTACTGAATAATATTCTTAGACTTTGGACAAAAATAACTCAATCCCACAAAATCAACTTGTAAGTAAGACTGCCCAGGCTGTATAAGCTCAATTTAACTCATGTATCTAGTCAATGTCGGCCTAAAAAGGTGATAACAATTAAGCAGCTTGCTAACAAATATGATTTCCAATATTGATACTGATACATCCATAATAGTATACAGCATAAATAAATGCATGGTGCGTAAATTGTGTTTGTTAGAAAGAAAAAGTATCTAAGCACCTGCTCCAGATCAATCATCCTATGTATTTATAAAAGGCATCAATTTTAATCATCTGGTCAAGAGTTTGATTGTTCGCTCAAGACAGAATTAATTTTGCTCACAATTAATTATAGAACTCCATAGTAGTGAGTTTGTGCATTGTCCACATTTCATGAGCCTTTAACTAACTATGTTTTAGGTTCTGAGAGAGTAACCCAAAAAAATAAAACAGTAAATACCTGTAATTTGCGATCTGTCCCCAGTTTATGAAGGGTTGAATTACAAACTGCTAGTGATCGTCTGGCAGATAATTGTCCTTCATGTTTCTTGGGATATTTAAGAAAGAGGTGACAGCTCACCACATATTTCAAAACAGAATCTCCTAGCAACTCAAGACGTTCCATTGAAAAGCTTTCACTACATCTCAAAGTTGTAAGTGCTTCTAGAATCTAACATTTACAAAAAGAAAAAACAGAACAAGATTATTATAATGATAGAAATCAACAATAAATGAGTATTTCTATCCAAGCACAAACCAGTGAGCTATGTATGTTGGACTTGCTACTTTGACCATATATCTCTTCTCTAAGCTGACTCGATAACATTAAAGATTCAATGCGGTACATCAGAGATGGCAACAAGTAAAATGACTTCAACACAGTTCTTTTAAATTCAAGAACATAAAGAAGCTCAGGTGGGATGTGAACATGTGCCGGCACTTTGGAGGTTGTAGGGCCGATTTGTGATGACTGGTCTCGTGCATCTGCTCAACTCAAATAACATAGCATAATCAAGTTGAACATGGTCATGCAAGGATTCACATAAATTCTTTTAAGACAGAGAGTAATATGCTCATATCCACTATCAATTCTTTCAAATCATCAGGGTGTAAAATGTAATTCCATTTGACCACTTCAGTGGAGATGGTAAAATTTAATTTCAAATCAAATTTCATTAAAATCATAATACAGAAATTTGAAATAGCATTTTAAGAGCCACAAGATGAAAACTTTAATTAGGAACAACTAACCTTCCTCATGGAAGTTGAAAAGAAGATTGTGTGGATTATGACTTTGCTTTAATAGTATAAGAGGCTGTCCTGGATGTCTCAGTGTAATACCATACCTGATCAAAATTTTAAGTTGTTTAGTCTAGTATATTAATAAAGTAGGAACGATAAGGCCAGCAAAACCCTAAGTAGGAAGCGGATTAAACAATTATGCACCTTTTGCTGAAATAATCTGAAAAGGTAATTTGTTCCTCGGATTTTTCATTGTTTCCTCCACAGAAAGGACTTTCTGCAGATAGGTTACTGTCGATGTCGATAATACAATATATTTTTCCAGTGTGAATGGCCAAAACTACCGTGTCTTTTATATTATCAGCATCAACCACACAATTAGCAAAGTGAGTCTTGTTTGTTCCTACACATTCCATCTCCAATGAACTGGTATCCTGAGGTGATGCGATTTTTCTGTTATCATCACAATCTCCAGTGACCAAAGAAAATTTCCTCCTTAAAAATTCAATAGCAGATGCACAAGAACTGATTCCATTCCAATTAATGTGCAAAGCTACCGCACAGATACCATTCAATTTCTCAAGTGGTAGAAGCAAATATAAGTGTTTTGTGCTCCACAATGATTTTGTGTCTTTCTGAAGTAAAAACTCTGTTTCTCCTCTTGCTGATTTTGACCTAAACACCAATCTCCCAAACAAACCATTGAAAAAAAGCTCATGGAAGCATTTTGCTTTCATCATCTAGTAGAGAACAAACAAAAATGAATCCAGTTAACTTTCAAAACAAGTGAGATTAAAGATAATAGAGAGAGGAGCTATATACTACATCAGATAAAACCTTATTTTTATACCTGTGTAGCATCCAAATCAACTGGCCCACACGAAGAGACAGAAACTTTCACGATCTTTGAGACTAAATAAAGATCTAATTCTATATTTCCCACATCATCATCAAGCTTTGACTCAACCAAAAGAACAAACCCAGAGTATACTTCGCTAGCAATACTACATGTGAATTCAAGTTTATAGGCAAAAAATGTGGCTGCATCAAGTTTGTCTCCCCATGCACCACTTAATGCACGAATGTTGGCTGTTCCATGTAACTCCTTTCTTTTCGTGGTTCCTTCAAATGTCAAAAACAAATCAGAATGAAAATGTGTTTTAACACAAACAAATGTTTGGTAGATTTCCATATAATAGATATAAAAGTAACAATGTCATATCAGGGTTGTCAAACTTAAAAAATTATATAAACTCGTGGAGGGTCCATAAACTCATAAGAGTTTACCTTAACCAAAATAATATTGAAAACACATAATCATGGTATCCAATCCAAATAACACCATAAATAGTCAAACTCGATAGTTATGTAAGTTAATCGAGGGTTGATAAACTCATAAGAGTTTCCCTTATACCAAATAAATGAACATAATTCATCACATGCTTGCATTTGTTCAATATTATCGATTTGATTTGTTTTATTTCTAAAATTAAAAATATTGAATAATCAGAAAAAAAAGTTAAAATAATTACAAAAAGATTAAACAGCTTTTTCATAAAAATTATGAAATTGAAGCTTTTTATTATTGATTCCTGATTATTTCATAAGTTGAACCAAAAAAAAACTTTTTTACCATAAAAAAACTATTTAAAACATTTCATACTCTCAAATTTAGAAGGAAGAATATTTCATTTCTCATACAAAATTATTAGGTCATTGGACCTATATGTACACTAGCCTGTTGGCTATTTTGGGAAATATAAACAGCTAATTCTAGGAAGACAAATCCCTATGATTATGGGATTTATTCTAAATACATAATCCTAGCATTAACAACAAATAAACTGTTGTGATAGAGAATAAGAATACAATTGAAGATAAAATCTAAACTTTCCTAAAATACACATTGAGTAAAGATTTTGACACATACAATCCAAATAAACATATTATCTTGAAATAACTTTTTAGTAAATATATCTTACACATGAAACTCATTTTGTCATAATTGACTGGAAAAAGAAAATTATACATGTAATCAACTGATGGAACTCACAGGTAATCAAACACACATCAGACAAAAGGTTTTGTCAGATTTTAAAAATAATCAATTATACATTCTTTACATCCCAGATTCGGAAGTTCATAGTGGTTATGTACAAACAAAATACACAATGGTGATATTTTGTTAGTATCTAATATGAAATCAATTTGTGCAGTAATTCTTGCAGTAAAAAAGGATAGAAATTGTATTAGAAAAACTGCAAAACGATTTTTGAAATATGCACAACCATTGGTTGGGAAGTCTGAGGTGTCAGAAATATAATGCAAATTTGAAATTAAAATAAAATTTTATCACAATTTATAAAAATAAAAAACAATGATCTGATAGTTATACCTGCACCGGAACTTGATTCTTTATTTTTCACAATATGGTCATCTTCTGAAAGATCTTCAACAAATGGAACCAAATGTTCATTTAAGGCACCCATTTTATGCAACTTCTTACAAGCTTCAAAGCAAGCAAGATGCCTTGCCAGTCGAATATCTTTTCCTGAAGGACCAATTATTGTTTGGAAGGCTGAATTAGATGGCAATGTTAACTTACACTGGTAACCCCCTTCCACAGGCAGAAACACATAACTGGGCTTTGCAGAGGAGTACCTAATCAAAATTACATGCAGAAGAAGTATGTAAAGACTAATGTCTCATATAGTTTAAAAGAAGACATGTACAACAGGATATAATCTTACTGATCTCGTGGAAGTGTTCCACAGTATCGATGGATAAGATTAACACTAGAATCTAAAGTCACAGAAGCTCCTGTAGATTCCACATAATATGCATCTATTTTCCCCATGGTAAATACTCTTAAACTAGATTCATGGTCCTTATTTATAGATGCATCAGTCATGGAGCGCTCACTCCTAATAATGTCAAAGAGTTGATTTCTTTGCTTCAAGTTTCCCCTGTAGATACCACAGTTAATGTTGATAGTTAACAAAAGCAATAAGATTATAATCATGGAGTTTAATCTACAGAAATCAATCAGAATAATGCAATTTGATTTGCGCAATAAACATTTATATTTGATATTCTGGACTAGATACAGAACTAAACCCCTCTTCCTGTTTATACATCCTCATTGTATCTATTTCAAATCAGTAGAAGTATTCATTTTTCTGCAAGGTATTAGACCTTAATCTGAACCATCTCTAGTCTCATGCCAACCCAACCATGGAAGGAGAAAAACCAAAAGGCTCAACAAAGGTAGAGACTGGTACACTTCATACCAGCTGGATCAAAGGGCCTGCAGTTCCGCTCACTGACCAAATAATGAATGGACAGAACTAATCTAATGAGAGAGGTGATTCTTAATCTTTGTTCAAGGAAAAGGAAAGGAATGATACATCATGAGAAACTTAAAAAATTCTGAGAAAGGAGGAGACCCCAACCTCCAAAAAAGGCAACTGGAAAGGAGTTCAGTCATGTCATGCCTTCATAATACCATGACAAATGAAATTGGGGAATTTTTCAAGTACTATGATGCCAGTAGAGAAATCAGGAATGTGGTTAAGGAAACATATGCCAAAGTAGATAACACCTCCGCAATATTTGAAACTAAAAGCATACTTCACAACCTGTGAGTGGGTGAATATCCTGATACTGAGTATTTCAGTACGCTTTTTTGAGATATGTACATGTTGGAAATATTACTATATTATTATCTTTTATTTAAATTAGATATTAAGATATTTTTATTATCTTTTAGAATAAGAGAAAAAGATATTAGGTTTACTTTGATTTAAATAGTTATGATTGAGATATTGTTAATATCTTATATTTTGTCATATTTTAATTATATATATACATAGAGTATATGAATAAAAGATATACTCCATATTTTATATATCAGAAATACACATATATAAAACCCTAAAAATTTCCATCAATACATACATACATACATACATATATATATATATATGTATGTATTGGAAATCTCCTATAAGACCAGTAAAAAGAACTGACTCCAAAGAACCTCTACCTGATAAAGATAAGTATCAAAGCATAGTTGGGAAGTTGATTAACCAAACTCAAACTACGCTTGATGTAGGATTGGCTATGAGTATGACAAGTAGCCATGTCATACTGATGCTTACATGAAAACAGTGAACAAAATCCTACAACAAAATAGAATCTGTTGTATTTCCTTCTTTTCAATTTCTAGTCATAGCATTTATAGGGAAAATCATTGCCTGATATAGGCTTGGATTAATAGACAGAATTAATTTTCTCTTCCCATTTATACTTCCTCACTGTATCAACTTTGAATAAGTGAAAAATATTTACTTTTCTGCAGTTAAATGTATAGACACAAGCACACTTGAAATAATTATCAAGAATGGTCATGGAGAAGGAATCGCCAACATCAAACAGGTTGTGACAATCAGAACACTTGCCTCTCCAACATGACGACAAATTGGGAGTTAACCTGCCTAGATCTTCCACGAGATTGGACATAACTACAAACTGTCTTTGGGAGGTCAAAACGTATCACACATGAGCAGTTTGGCACATGTATCCCTTCCTCAAGTACATCAGTAGTAAATAATAAATTGACCTAAACAAAGCATTAATAATCTATTATTAGATTTCCAATACTAACATCTAAGACACATTCATTGCACATCACTTGATCCACATGAAGCAGGAAACAAATACCTTTCCAGAGCGAAACGAATCCAATATCTCCTTCTGCTTTTTAGGAGCCACAGCATCAACCGAGGTATTGTTTCCAGTTAAATAGGAAACTGTGAAATGAGAAATCTGGGGAACTTTTTTTGCAAATCTTTCAATCACCTTAGCTGTAATGATTCTTTCAACAAAAATAAGGCACAACACCTGACTAGATTGTCTGTAAACACAAAGAAAGATACATTACCAATTTGCTATGTTACATAATTAGACTTACTTTCAGAGGAAAACTATTTATGTGACCCAAACAGTAGATCATAGCTCCATACCCAAGTGATTCAAAGATTTTAATAAGTTCAAGTAATTTTGGAGATATGTATCCCAAATCTTCTGCCTTCCAATAATCAAAATCAACTCCCAAAATCTTGTTATCAGCTGCATCAACATTAGTTAAATCAGTTGGCAGAGATTAAGGCAGAGTGCAATGTTAACATGACTCAAGCATTTCTAGCATGGTATCATTTCTCTAAAGGGACATGCTACAGTAATTTTTTGTCTAATTATAAAGCATATAAAATTCCAATAAGGAAGATCTATCCACAACATTTTGGCTTTGCAACATATTGCTTGGGAAGTCAAAATCAGAATACCAAATCAGAGAAAAACAAGCATTCCAAACAAAGAAGCATGAATAAAAAAGTACAGTTAATATAAAATTTTGCTATAAAGTACAGTTCATAAGAAAATTCTTAAAATCTACTTGTAGATAACCTAATGAAAATATACTAGATTGCAAGATGTAGATACATGCAATCTCAATTTTCTCAAATATCATGAAGATACAGAAAGATAAATAACCCAAATACGGGGATGAAGAAGAAGAAACCATAAAAAAAAAAAACATACCAAGATGAAGGGGTTCTTCGATTAATTTTATTACTTCTTCAACAAAAGTAATACACTGAAGATAACCTTTTCTGTAAATTTCACACAGTCCTTCAGTTTTGGATAAATTCTCATGACAGATTTTAACCACCTGTGTAAAGATAGACAGATTATAATATATACATATACACACAAACACACACACACACACATATATATATATATATATATATAATGTGTGTGCACGCGCGTGTATGTGAGAGAGAGAGAGAAACAAAAGATAAAACTATAATTAAAAAAACTGTAATGATGAATGTGTAAAAATTTGTGCATTTATTTCTAAGATATGGACATATTTAAACACAACAAAAAAAAACTTGCTACACAGAACAAAGATAAAGGTAAAAGAAAAAAATCAGAGGCAAAACTTGGGGTTAGAGTTGACAGTTGATCATTTTCATTTGATCCGTAAGAATAAAGTATTGGCAAACAAAATATAACCCCAATTCAAAAACAAAAGGTTTTAATAAATTTCTTAATTACAAAACATTAATGGGCCAGTTTGTTTAACATAGTGTTTTTTAATTAGGAAATTTTTAAAATAAGTTCAGGACTACTTATTTCTAACCTAAGCATATTGGACATACCCATAATAAAACAGAAATCTACTTATTATATTTAAAAAAACACTTCTAAAAAAAGCACAAACAAACTGGTCATATACCATCAGCAATAACGCCTTATTGATTTTGTTATAAATGTGTAAATGAAATGCTATTATATGTTAATATTGCAAAATATCAGAAAGACTTTCTGTCCAACCCCAGATAAAGTGGACTTTTCATCCAGTTTATAAGAAGCAATGGATTGGTTAAGAACAAATAATCCAATTAAAAAATATAGACTTTTTAACTACAAAACATCAATAATTTACTGGCAACAATAAATCCAAGTTAAAAAACATCAGAAATTATGTCAATTTTAAAATTCAATTAAAAAATTTCTTCCTCTTTTTTTCTATTTTAGCCCAACTTTTTCCCCACATCGGAAGTTCAATACCTCATAAGCACATAGGATCCCAAGATCTTCAAGGCAATGTAAAATTTTTCCAAGTTCATTGGACATCCGCTGAGACAGTGTCTTAAATTTATTGTCCACGTCCGTATAGTTACTTTTAGTTTCTGACAATGATGCATCAAACTGTTCAAACAGGTTAAGTTCAGTCAGTATCTTTTGCTTTAAGAAATATTGAGTACAATTGGGAAAAATTGCAGCAGCATATTTGTAAATAGCAAGATGACCCAAAGATACCTTGAACCACAAGGCTTCAATCTTTGGCTTCAAACTCAAAGCAGAAAATCGTGCTTGGTCATAATATTTACAACTCTCTTGAGCAGACGAGATATATCTATCCATCTCTGTCCGATCTTCAATGGTATATCTCTATAGAAACATAAAAAGAGACAAGTTCATTCTTTTAATGGTATAAGCATAGTATTGCATGTGCACTCTGATAGGCCAGTACAAAGCACCAGTCTTGGAAAGTTTGTCACAGAAAGAAAATGAGTAAATGAAAGAAGTCAGTTTAGAGGGGTGCTGTGTGATTGGATGACAGTCATTTTATCAATTATTTGTGTTTTTTATGTGAGGGTCATAACTATTCTAGGGATGTATGAATAGCTGGCAGTTTTGGGGCAGGGGATATACGAGTCTGTATGTACACTTGAGAGAGAGAACTCTCTGATAGTGCTTAGGCATGTGTTTTGTGGGTTTGTACTCTATTTCTGATTCTGTCCAGAATTATTATCAACAAAACTGTTGCATCTGTGCAATCTCTTTATCCTAACACACTGGAAAAATTAATTTAAATCAATGTCAGAAAACTAATATTACCTGAGAATCCAAGATGCTTTCAAGTTCTGATATCTGATCCTCACAATCCATTGAAGAAGAAACACCTGATTTGGGATATAAAACATAAACAATGTATATCGCTTTCAAGATACAATCCAGATTCTTCAAGTGTTTAAAGACAGAAAGTAATCATTAAAAACAATGCACAGGAAAGGGCTTCATCAGTAGCCAGGGCAGAGCATATCATGGAATAAGTACAAGTTGGTTCTCTATGTTAGTATGGAAGAGTGGAATAGTAGATAAAATAAATAATTGTATTAAAAAAAAAATTACACTAATTAAAAAAAATTCTCTGAAAATTTATTTTTTTTAGCCACATTATTTTTTTCTAAAATAAAGTTATTTATTGTTTATTTCTTTTTTATGTTAAGAATGTTAAGAAATACAGTAAAAGTAGTGTATATAAATATCACCCCAAAGGAGAGAACTTCGCTGCACAGAAAGCTTATGAACAAAGAAAAGGTCCACTCCTCCCGGCAAAGCCATTCTGCTTCAAAAGTAAAGGGTGCTGCTTTTTTGTATCACACAAGGTGCTTTTTTTCCCATCATGCAGTTTAAATCTTTCAACATACATACATCATCATACAATGTAGGTTGAACAAAATTAATAAGTACTACCTACTTATCAGTTCCAGAGATTGTTCCACTTCTAATTTTGTGTTTTTGTTTCTTTGTTATGTAGTCATAGTCACCTTCACTGAACTAAGTGTGTTTTTCATTTACTTTCTTTGTGAAAAAAATATGACATTCAAATTTAATATTTATTTTAACAAATAACAATGAATGTGCAAAACTAAGGACAAGATAAATAAATAAAGCACCATCTAGGGAGTAAATTGGATTGACACAAGGAAAGCATTTTTCAACTAACAGTTATTAGTCAAAGTTGGCAACTAAAATAGTTACCTCTTTTACCAACTGGTGATGCGGTCATCCCAAAAATCTTTGGCTTTTCATTAGTTTGGTGATAAAATTCCTTCATTGGCATAAAGACAATAGTTATTTGTAAATCTATTTCCTAACCTAAAAATAGTAACAAACAAAAAGATGAATCGTGTTTTATACATTTACCTTCATTATTTTTGCATACGGATGGTTGCCAGTTGCTCTATGACATTCATCAATAACAATCAAGCATATCATTTCCATACGTAGGAATGCTTTTCTTAAGGCATCCAACAGAATCTGGGGTGTCATAACCAATACCTATAAGACAAAGATATTAGTAGCAACCATAGAGCCAAATCATTATAAAAATATTCAATGCCGAGAAAGAACTTGAATGCTTTATACATTAACTATTTACCTTCAATACATCCATATATTTTATTAAATAAAAAAAAATTACCTTAAATATAGAGTCATTTTAAATTGTGTGATTTATACACACATGAGTACCCTAAACCTAATAATAAAAAATATTTGATAAAATATTTTTCTATCAAACCATATCATATCTTTCTATTCAGTGTAATCAAATCATATTTTTAACACTCCCTGAAACTGAAGTATATATGTCATATGAACCAAACTTGTTAAATATGCTATCAACACGAGAGCCTTCAAAGGATTCAGTGAACATGTTTACAAGTTGGTCACTAGAATTTACAAAATTAATGACAATTTCTACTGAGAGTCAATCTCAGTGTTTGGTCTGCTCGTTGAAGACTAGATTTGACGCAATGTCAATAGCAACTTCATTATCACATATGAGTTTAGTACCATGAATGCCTCCAAGTTTTAATTGTTGAAGGAGTTTTGAAAGCCATGTAATCTCACAACCAGCTACTCCATGGTACAATACTCAACTTGAGTGTAGGATCTAGAAACTGTATTCAATTTTTTTCTCCTCTAGGAGATCAAATTCCCTCCAACGAGAACACAATATCCTGATCGAGTGGCACATCAGTTGTGGGTCACTGCTTGAAAAGGTTAAAGTGAACTAGATAGTGATTAGGCACTGTGCAGGGTAAAAAAAATTGATACCATATAGAGAGAATTGCTTGTAATTCTGATTTTATTTTATTGGGTAAGATAATTCCCTATCAAATCATATCATATCTCCCAATTTAATGTAATTAAACCATCTCTAACGAATCAAATTTTATTTTATTTCTAAAAATTGTTCAGTACTAATTTTAAGAATGAAATTACCAATACACTATTCAGTTCAATTCCTTAGTTCATGGTGGTATTACACACTATTCAAACAAAATTTGAATAACTTTTCACCATAAACATCATGTTGAGATAACTAATTGACTGTTATTTAACTTAGTAATTCAGAACAATTAAAAATTTCACATCTTGTATTAATTATACACTTTTCAGGTTCAGCTCACATGAAACAAAAGTGGAGAATAAAAAATCAGCAAGAGTATTGTAATCCCAACCACAGAATAGTATCTACAATCAATGTTGAACAAGAATGGATAACCATGGACTGAGATAGTTACAAAGAAAATAAAACAAGTTTTAATTATGTAATATTTTAATATTTTGTGTTCATGATCAAAATGATATAATATATAATACTGTTCAAATCAATGAATATAAAATTATATTCATTCAAAAAAAAGAAGCTTAAAAGTATCTACGTGTCAATCAATTTGGAGTTAATAATTAACATACATCATTGTTACTAATCTCCTTCTCCCACGTTTTCAAAGTCCATGTATCAACTCCTTTAGCCCCATAGTATTCCTCAACTTGAAAATCTGTCAGATATTTTATATTCTTAAATTGCTGCAAATTTGACAAAAACAACAAATAAGTTTTACCTGTAAATTAATAAATCACACAATTGGTTAAAAAGAAGACTACAACATATCAACAAGAAATCACACTTTGTTACAAAGGAAGAGATCTGCTAGGACCAAGAAGTAAACTGACTGCAGTTTGCAGGTCAGTTTAGGGGAGGATATGATAGACCTCTAAGACAATAAGACTGATCACATTTAGACCATGCTACTAGTTATTGGGTTGAGAGCTTTAAGCTTTCTACAGCACATTTGTGGAATATATACAGAAACAGAAAGGGGGAACTGTGTAACATGCCTGATTGACAAGATGAACTGTGGGAGCCAAGAAAACAATAAGCTTCTTCACTCCAATAGTCTTGATGGTTTGACCAACCTCTTTCATAAGCATCACAGCAATCAAGGTTTTACCAGAGCCTGTGTCTAACACAGCTATTGTGTTCCTTCTCCATGCAACTTCAAACACCTCTATCTGATACCTAGAGAGAGAAAAGAAAAAGTTGTGTGAATGCTAAAGAAAACAAAAACTATCCTCATCAGACTCGTTGAAAAAAAAATAAAAAGGCAGTCTTTATGAGCAAATTCAAACACAAAATATAAAAAAAAAATTAAAAAAAATGCAATCTTTATGATCAAAGCCAATAAAAACAATCAAAGACCTAGAAAATAAGAAAAACACGATCTTCATGATCTTCCCGAACATTATATCTAAAACAGTAAAAATCATGGATGGGGCATGCATTTACAAAACCACCTCCATTGTTAAAAATGACAAAAAAAAACACAAAAGTTTAAAAAGATACAAAATTTAATAAATGTTAAACACCTCCTGGGATTCAGACTGAAATTAGATAATTCCAGAGACGAAGAATAATCAGCATCAGGTTGCTTCCGTTTTTTATTTTGTTCCTGGTCTAAAGAATCAATCTTGAAATTCATTACCAGTGATAAGAATCACTCACTTCATAAGCTGATAATGATTTAGAAGTGAGTTTTAACTGTGAAATAACCCTTCAACCAAATTTCAAGTGTGTTTAGAAACAGTGAGAAGTTCAGAGATGCGGAAAGAGAAAGGTGAAAAAAAATGATAGTAAATTAAACTAAGCACAAAGATTGTTTTGTCTTGTCCCCAAATTTCAATTATATTTCGAAATAGTGAGAAGTTCAGAGATGCGGAGAAAGAAAGGTGAAAAAAATGATGGTAAACTGAACTAGGCACTTTGTCTTGTCGCCTGATATAACAAAAGTAAAATAATATTAAAATTTTAATATTAGCTGTATTTTATGACAAAATATTCTTTAGTATATATCTTTCAGTTTTTATTTTTCAATTAAATATATTTAATTTTTTATATTTATATATAATAAAAAATATTTTATTTTTAATATATTCTTCAGTAAATAATTATTTTTATCTAACATTTATTATTATTGTATTTATTAATTATAATATATATATATATTTATAAAAATTTATTAAATGAATATATCTTAATCATAATTACTCTATATAAATATTATGTATGTACTAATATTAATAATAAATATTTATTTCTAAAGATCATAATAAAATTCAAAAATTAAATATTATTAACTATTATAATAATAACATTAAATATTATATTAATACTAATTATTTGTTTTAAAACATAATTCATGAATTATTTATATCATATGTTTTTGAGACAATTTTTTAATTTTATTTAAAATAATATTATATTAACATTGAAGAGAATAATAAACTTAATATTACGAGAACTATATATATATTAAACTAATAATTCATAAATAAATAATTGAGTTTGAAAATAAAATATTTTTTTAATTAATAATTAAATATATAATTTAAAAAATATTGTATAAATCTATTTTTATTATTTAATATAATTTTATCATTTTTCAAATATATTAAATTTTTTAAATATATTAATTTTTTTAAATCAAGTTTATGCATAATGGAAAAACAAATTTAATGGATCTATACTTTATTCATCTTTATTATTAAATATAAACAATACAAACTAACAATTTTAACCATCACAAAGCATTCATATTTAATCATTAATCAAATATCACATTAAGGTAGAACAAAAAAAATATTACAATATAATTAACATAAGAAAAAAATCTGGATTTGGGTGACAAAACTATTTTAACTGATGGCATATAATTAACATAATTATCCATGGTCCCAATATTAGGATAAAATTCAACTACCATAATAGTTATTTTAATTTTAATTTTTCTTTAAAAAAATTAAGTTTGGATTGCTTCTAGCTAATTTAAAAAATTGGATTTGTATTGATTATTTGCATTACCAGTTTTGAAGATTGAACAAATGTAATTAGTCCATACTGTGCAAGGTATGATAAAGTGGAACCAAAAGAAGAAGGTTAGCTGATGGGCTCCATATAAGCCCATTCAAATAATGGGGTACCAATTTAGGGAAAGACTCAATTATCATCACCAGTAATCCCCACAAGAGCAGGTCCCACTCCTGAAATGATGAAATCGATTTGCATCTCTCAAAACAATTTCACGCTTAAAAATCTTTGATATATATTTGATTGCATTATGGCAATCTCCACACACTCTGAGATTTTTAATTATCCTTAATGTAGTGGATGATGGAGTTTTTATAAGCCCATAAACTATTGCTAACTTCTCACTGTGATAATATAAAGAACTCTCCTTATCTTCTTCTTCTACATCAACTAGTGCAACGTCTGTATCAGGGACATATCCTTCTTCTCTGATCTTCTTCATGACAAACTCCAACTTATTATATATCACATCAGTTTCTTCATGTGACCTATCGCCAGCTACAAACAAATGCACTTTGTTCTTCAAATCTAACCAACTAAATCCTGGATCTTTCTTCACATTTACTTTTCTCATCATATTTCTAGCACTCTCCACATTTTCCCATTGGTTAGAAGCGGCATAAACATTGGATAAAAGAACATAAGCTGCTGAATCAGATGGGTCCAAGATCAAAAGCTTTTCTGCTACACGTTTTCCTGTCTCTCCGTCTGGGTGAACCCTACAAGCATTAAGCAGTGTTCTATACATTGAAGCAGAAGCTTCAAAAGGCATTGATGATATCACCTCTTCAGCTTCTTGTATTTGCCCTGCTCGGCTAAGGGCATCAACAAGACAAGAATAGTGCTCAATCTCAGGTTCAATACAATAGTTTTTCTGCATGGAATAAAAATTATCATAGGCTTCGGATATCAAACCAGAGTGACTGCACGCAGAAAGAACCCCTATAAAAGTAATTCTATCCGGCATTACACCCCTGGATTTCATGTCTTTGAAAAAATGGAGGGCTTCCTCAGCATTTCCGTGTTGAGCTAATCCTACTATCATGGCATTCCATGAGACAATCCTCCCCGTGTTCATTCTTCCAAACAAACCACGTGCATCTTCTATGTTCCCACACTTGGAGTACATGTCAACAAGTGAGGTCATCACAAAAGGATCAAAAGCACAATTTAGTTTTACAATATTTGCATGAATCTGTCTCCCTTGTTCCAATGCTGCTAAAAGAGAACAAGCCTTGACAAGGGTAGCAAAGGTATATTCATCAGGCTGCACCATGGAAAGTCTCATCTGATGGTATGTGGAAAGCGCACGATCCTCTTGTCCATTCTCCACATATCCTGATATCATTGTAGTCCAAGCAACATCATCAGGTGAGGGTATCTCACTGAAAACTCTGCTTGCACTTTCCATCTCTCCGCATTTTAGATACATGTCAAGAACACTACTAATGACAAACAAATCTAAATTAAACCCTCTTTTCATGACAACTGCATGAATTTGCTTCCCTTGTTCAAGCCCCACCAATCCCCCAGCAGCTTTAGCTGCATTTGCCAGAGTAATCGGATCCGCTCTCTCTCCACTCTCATGCAATATCATATAAAGCCTCAATGCCTTGTGAAAATCATGACCGACTATGTACCCATGCATCATAGCATTCCAAGATGCCAAATCATCTTGGTTTGAAAAAAGAACTTCTGCCTCCTCGGTCTTCCCACTCTTGGAATAGACATCAATAAGAGCTGTTGAAACAAACGAATCTAAGACAACACCAGCTTTCATCGCGCAAGTATGAATCTGTGTGGCAAGATAGCAACCTTGTTCAAGAGAGGAACAAGCCCTCAAAACGCTGGCTATAGTGAATTGATCCGGCAACAGGCCAACACGTAATAAATCAACAAACAGGCCAACAGAACACTCTTCCAAACCATTCAGTGCACAGCCAGATATCATGGTGTTCCATGATATCAAATCCACTTCACTCATTTGACCAAACACCGATCTCGCACGAGAAACAAAACCAACTTTAAAATACATATTAATAAGGCTGTTTCCAACAGAGACAACTTGATCCAATTCTGTCCTAACGACAACACCGTGAATCTGTTTCCCCAGTTCAAGGCAGTTCAAACTGGCAGCTACAGACAACATCACAACAAAGGTCAAGCTGTCACACGCAACACTTGACTTTATCATATCCCCAAAACAATCAACTGCTTCCCAAGCTTCACCTCTCTGAAGACACCGAGACAGTGTGGTGTTCCATGCAATAACATCCGAATCACCATCCTCGCGTACAAACAATTTTGTGGCATAAGCTCGAAGCTGCTTCAAATGCGATTCGAAAACAGTTTTTCTACTTTTTCCAACCTGCGTGAGAGTACGAAGAGTTACGTCATCGGGACGCAGTCCCGTTCGGTGAAACTCGGAGAAGAGAAGCAATGCTTCGTGTTCGAGACACGTGTCGACGTAAGCTTTCATCATGAGGTTCCAGAGAACAACGTCCCTCACGGTCATTCCATCGAATAAATGGCGCGCCTCTCTAATTCGTCCGAACTTGGAGTAAATGTTGACAAGAGCGCCGGCCACGAACACGTCCCATAGTAACCCGATCTTAAGGGCGTAACCGTGGAGGGACTCAGAGGCGGAGGGGGAGCAGGAGAGGAGGCACATTTTGAGGACGGGGGCGAGAGTGTGGCGCGTGGTGGACATGGCAGAGTGGCGAAGGAGACGGAAGAGTCGAAGGCCTTCGGAGGGTTTGTCGGCGTGGGCGTGGGCGGCGAGGATGGCGTTCCAGGTTACGAGGTCTCTGGCGGCGTGGGGCGTTGCGTCGAACAGTTTAAGCGCGGAGGAGAGGGAGCCACATTTGGCGTACATGGTGATGAGGTTGTTGGTGAGGAAACGTTCCCGATGCTGGCCGGACGTTAAGATGCGGGCATGGGCGCGCTTCCCGAGGGGTAAGTCGGAGGCGGCGATGGCGTGGCGGAGGATGGAGAACCATTGAGGGGGGGAGTGGGGGGGTGTGAGGGAAAGGGAATGGGAATGGATGTGGTGAGCGCATGGGGTTAATGCGTTGGCAGTGGAAGTGGCTCGTCGCAAGCTCATCTTGGCATTGAGAACTCAGTCTCTTATCATGTTGGGTGCAAAGCAAACCTGAGTTTAGAAATGTGATTGTAGTTGGAATTCAGGTTTGGATCAGGCGGGAGTTGTGAACAAGACTGTCATGCAAATTTTTTATTCTTACGAAAAAAAAATATTTACCAAATTGGATTTAATATTAAAGAAGATAGTTTATAAATAGTATTTATTATATGTCAAAAAAAGCAGACCGGTCAAAATGAACACTAAAAAATGTTTAAAATAAATTAATAAACTTTTTACCTAATTATCAAATAAAAACTGTTTCTAATTTTAATTTTTGAAATCAATATTATAAAAATCAATAAATTTAATTTACGTAACAATTTAAAATTAGATGATAATATAACACATCTTACTCTTTACACATCTGTCTTAAATTATTTAAATTTTTTTCACATTTTTTATAATTAAAAAAAAAAAGCCACATAACATCATTTTTATATAGTATTTCCCGTTTTCCAAGTCAATTGAAAGAATGGTAAAAAATTCGTATCGAGTCAATCGGTTTTTCAAAGTGTCCGCTAGGTATAAGAATAAAAGTTCTTTGTTTTGTGAGATGGAATTGGAGTGGAGCGTCTACTAATGCAAATTTTTGTTTGAGAAAAAACAAAGTAAATTAAAACGCATCTCTCTCCCTATAGGTATTATCTAGCCCGTTTCTCTCCCACAACTTTTTTCCAAAAGAGAAACACAGAAATTATAATAACGGCCACCGTTATTTGTGAGACTATTCAATGTAGTTTATAACTTTAGGGTTCAATTCAACCCTGTTGGATTCCTTATTAACATGAGAAGTTCTCATCATCAAGATAATGCCGAGGCCAATATCATCGCAGTAAATTGTTTGGCATTGAAACTAATTTGCAAAATCAATTGTTCTATGCGTAATTGAGTTCTATCAGTTACATCTGAATCAAAAGGGGGAAAAATGGAATTTAACAAGGAAATAAAAATTAGGGTACAAAATTAACAGAAGGAAAATAATCCCATAATAATGTGAAGTCCTGCTTACTAATGTAAATCTGATGTCGTCGCTAAACCTTAATGATACAATTCTGCTACAACCCTTCTTTTTCCTTCTCCCCTAAGTGCTTTTTTCTCTCTTTTTTTCCTGTTCTTCGGGCATATACAGATACAACAATGACTAAAATGTCCGTGATCTTGGACTTTATACCGTGTCAAAAAACTTGTACACATCCTTGGCTGACTCAATATATCACAACACGAAGTAGGCCTGGCTGAGGTTCCGTGAAGTCAATGCCCTCTTCAAGAAGAAAACGCTGTACAGCTATTGGAAGTCTTGCAGGAGTGCGGGATCCCCTTGTATGATGACCTGTGCCCACACAAATATACACCTGCAAACGCTGCTCAGCAGCTATGGCAGTGCTTTTTAGCACACTCAACTCGTGTTTCAGCACATGAATGGCTTCACTTGCATGCAACCCGTGTAGATCTATTATCCTCTCAAGTCCTCTTCCATTGCCTTGCAGCTCTGAAGTAACTGAATTTCTGAAAAAATCAACACTTGTAATGACTGAGGCAGAACTCAACACTTCAGAGCAATGCAAATATACATTCTGGTTCGTACAATGATATGGCATGGCACTCCAGACTGCCATTCTAGTAAAAAACTGTTACGAGGAGACCAAGAAAAAGTTCGTGCTAATGTTCTCCACGGAGTAAAAATACTCATGAATTTCTTCCGAAGCAACCAGATAACATATTGGCATCACTAGATTCTACTTGTAAGGGTTTAGATAGTTAGACACATCTTAAATAAGTGAGACACAATAGTTGTCCTTCAGACCAACAAGAAATCAGCAATAAAAAATATTTGAGGAAAAACAACAAGTGGAAAATGTGAAAAAGAGTAGAGAGCTAACCAAACAGAAGGAACTCTTTCGTGTCAATAAACATACATAACAGGTTGGGGGGGGCAGCAAAATATGTTAATATCATAATGCCAAATAATATAAGTTTTTTTATATTCCAAATTTACATAGAGATCAGGAATGAAAGCATTGGGGAATAAACAAACCTTTGCCGGTAAATGGATTCTTGAGCTTTTCCATGAGCTGCCTTCATATGCATGTTGTGAAGTTGCCCTTTAGCACTTAGTTCCTTTGCTAGCGCTTTATTACCAATAAGATAAGCTTGACGTGCCTGTTTCAAATTAGAAACCAATTAAACTCGAAGAAATAGATTCAAAACAAATGTCTCTCGAAGAGACTTTGTTGTTTATTCTTGAGCTGGTATCAGCCCAACAGTTCTTACTGAATCAACAGTCCCAACATGAATATCAAAAGTTAAACACACACCAAAAGGAGTTGAGAAAGTCAAGGGAATAAGTCAATAATACCAATCTAGAGGTGTGTAACCAAAATCATTATTTTAAATTGTGATCCTTAAAAGCATGAGTTGAAGACCCACCTGCTCAAAATATGCATTGCGTAAGCATGCATGATCCCGAGCCTCTTCCCGCAGCTCTGAATACATATTTGCTGCCATGCAAAACAGTTAAAGAAAATAAATAGTTCACAGAGAAAACACCCCACAATTGAAGCATATATAAACATAAGTATTTACCAACGGCATCACCAGTTTCAAGCCAAATAGGAGCTGCCCTAGTTGAGCCACGGTTCTGTAATCGATCACCAAAGTGTGCTCTCCCTTGTCCAACATTGTAGCCACCACCCAAAACATTTGAATTCCTACTTGAGCCTATAGCAGCATCACCAGATCCATTTTTGTCATACTTCCAAATACCACTAGAATCCTGAGAAGCCAACTTCCTAACAGCTGAAGCAAAGTCAATAGCACCTCTAGATGGAACTGAAGAGCTAGATTTGAAAAGCATCACATCACTGTCAAATGACTGGTAAGGATTGCCACTTTGCTGGACATTATCCACCACATATTTAACTGCAGCAGCCTGGCCATCTTGTGAAGTAAGTGCAGGGAAATCCGTTGCACTGAGATTGGGAGCTGACAGAGGCTTTGAATTCAGATTTTGATTGAAACTACCATCAACTTGAAGCTGCTACAAATTTCAACAAGTGAAGAGAAAGAGATTATCAACATAAAGTTCCTAGGTTAAAAAAATAGTCAAGAGAAATAAGGGATGACTACATGATCATATATATATATGTCTCACAAAATGCTAATGGCCCATTGGTAACATGAAGCAGGGACTGTATCACAATTGAAGTAAAAGAGTGTAGATCAAAATTAAAAGAAAAAGAAAATATTGTCGTTTCTAACAACCCCCTCCCCCCAGTACCAGGCAATGTGATTAGAAACTGGAAGCTAGAGGTTGGACCTGCATCACTTCACAACTTTAAAAGGAGCCAGATCTTCCCTGCCAAAACAAGGCACAGGAATTGCTCTAAATACTTAGTATCCAGCCCATCATACTTAGTTTTGTACTAAGAGCCAATTAGGATAAACCTCTCAACAAAAACATGCAAGAGAAGAAGAAAAATAATCAAGGAGGTAAAATGAGTCAAGCTTTTACCATAAATTGAAATCAACTCGTGTAAAAGTTAAATGAGAGAATTGATAAAATACATGAGTTTATTTTAATTCATGGGAGAAGTTTAATTCATTTTACCTCAATTCATTTCATTTTCTTCTCCTATGTGTTTTTTGAGAAGTTTATTCAAAAGCTCTAGAGCATACTGCATTGCAACAAGCATAAGATAGATATTCTTCAGCATAAATATAACCGACTAGACATACATTTTCACAGTCAAATGCATGAGATGGAGCTTATACGGAACCATTAGTTGACAACAGGTCAGATATTATATTAAAATCAGCCTACCTCTAACTGACTGAGCATCTCAGTGGTCAGATGTAAATCACATCCATTGGCAAAGTAAGCTTCTGCAAGACTTTCTGCCGCAAAACCAGGGAACAGTGAAGCTAAAAACTCTAAAGGATTCGAAGCAGTATCATCCAAAATTGCATTTTCAGCCAAAACATCATTTATGTATCCATGCCTATTGTTGTCATCATAAGTAAGCCCCTCTTGACCACTGCTAATACGCTGGTCAGCACTCCCAAGTGGGCCCTCCCAAGGCTTTGCTAGAGCATTCAAAAAGCTTGTAGAAGATGGGTCCTCCCTGTAGCTTGAATTGGAAAACCCTATTTTATCTGCAAAGCTATTGCCATTAATATGCTGTTTAGATAATTCCTCCAGCTCATTTATTATATATTTACTTCCTTTGGAAGAAGGAAACCTGGAGACTTCATTGTCCTCATTTATGGATAAACCTGCTAAAGAAAGATCATCTAGACCTCGAGATTCATCTTCTCCCATGACCTTGAAATCAGGGGTAATATCATCAGGGAGCTGACATCGCCAGTATTGATGCACCTCATCGTCAGAATTAATTGAAATGGATGATTCTGATCTATCTAAAACTGCTTTCCCAAGAGCTCCAGCAGCCGTAAGTCTTGCTGTTCCATCTACCGAGCTGGTAGTTCCAGATAATGATGATGATCTGAGGGCAAAAGGAATAAACTCTGCTGCATTTGGATTCAGTGTTGTCACCTTGTTTGGGCTTAATAGCTTTGCATCCGTTTGCGATCCTTTCTTGGTTAAGTTCATTATTAACTAGAATATGGACAAAATAACTACAACATAAAACAGACTTTAAAAATAGTAACAGCACATGTCCAGTCAGCCTCAACCAAACCCTGAAAATGGTTCAATTTCATCATGCTCATTGATTAAACAGACTTCTATAAATAGAACAGGGAAAAGTAAAAAAAAAAAAAAAAAAAAAAAAAAAAACACCACAAATCCCATAAATCGTATAATAGATAAATGATGATTTCAATAATATCCCATATAACACAAAAGTGCCAAATAAATAACCCAATATAGAACTGCAGTTACGACTATTTTTAATATCACTGCAATAAACTATAGCTCGCCATTTTCGTCAGTTGGACTTAAAAGTGAATCTTATTAAGGTAAACTGAACAAAAAAAGGAACCAGCACAAATTACGGAAATTATAGTAAAATTTACAAACACACAAATAAGTTCTGGCCAACGCGGACCAAATTCAGAAATAGAATAACAAAGCAGGAAAAGATTAAAACCCTAAACCTCTCGAACTAAATAGCAGAAAATGTCACAAAACAACTCCTGAGAGAAATTAAACAACACGGAGAATTACCGAACAGTAACCACCTAAAAACCCCAATAACACAGGTTAAGAACCAAAAACCAAAACCTAGAATTTGAAACCCGAATTTCAGACTAACATGAAACATAACAGAAACAACAACCAACGAGTCAAAGCTGGAGTGCACAGAGAACGAAACCTCCAATACAGAAGCCACGAGCTTCAAAAGAGATCTCGAGCAATTCAAGGCCTCAGAAAACAGCCCCAAAAAGTACATAACAATAGCAACAACAGTAATTGAAGAGAAAAAAAATAATAATAATAATGAAGAAGAAGCGCGAGAAAAAGATCTGAAACAAATGGAAGAGTGAAACCGAAAAAATATTGTATATATATTTATACCTTCGCGTATCAAATCGAAGGGATCCATGGGGATGAGATGAGAGGAGAAAAGAAGAGAAGAAAGAAAGTGAAGGTGATTGTGTTATTTAATATTGGGAAAAATTGAGGTTGGGATTATCCAATATCATCTCGAGTAGGAGTATGATTATCGGGTCGGGCTTCTTCTTCTCTCTCTTAAGTCTTACCTTACCTCCCTCTTTTATTCTTTTTTCTTTTTTCTTTTTTTTTTTCTTTATGGATTCTGTTTGAAAGCCTCTTAGCCAATCCAACAGCAGCACCAGCACCACAAAAATACCAAATAAGAAACCCAACCTTCTCCCTTTATAAAATCACACTGCACAGTTCATAATTATTAATTCATATGCTTGTTTGGGATAAAAAACATTACCTTCAAATTATATCTTAATATCAAGTTTTTTAACATAAAGCTTGTATCAAATTTACAGTTATTATTATTGGTTTTTAAAATTCTATTCTCATTATTTATCAATAAAAAAAACACATACACGTAATATTTAATAAGAAAAAACAAGGAAAATTTGTTTAGTTGTATAACATTATAATGTTTATTTAATAGTAATATGTATTATTAATTCATTAACCAATCTTATCATTTCCACATTCATTTCTTCTCACTTCCTCTTCACCTCCCTTTCACTCCATACAAAGTCCTGTATAATTTTTTTTCAATCCGTTTTTTTTTTAATATTAGAAACTCATTTTAGTATTGATTTTATCATCAACACACGTATAATTTAGCAACGTACTCAAACTTAAAACACATAAAATCTTTAGAATGACATAGAACCAGTGCATTGGCTCATATCAATTGCACGTAAGCGTTTTCAAATCAAATATCTAATAAATTATGATGATAACTGGTTTTAATCATGCACACAGCACAAAATCGTGTTAGTTATCAAAATCTTGGTCAGTTTCTTCACATACACGAAACTTGTTTTCATGAGAGCAATGCCAATTCGGCTGGTTTCACATTATTTTGCAAAGGTTTTCCAACTAGTCAAGACATTTTTTTTTCTTAAATATAATCACAGGTTAAGTACACTGCATGAAATTAGCCTTAGTTTACGCAGAGTGAAAAACAAGTTTGGTGATCAAAATATTAAAAAAAAAATAGTCAAATCATTACTGTGTGTTACGTTCTGAATGATAACAGTTTATTTTTCAAAATTTATGTGATAGTTAAAAATTATATAAGTTAAAAAAAAAATGGAATCTGTGATAGTTAAAATTTACATAAGTTGAAATTTGCGTTGGCAGTACCAACAAAATAAAATAGATAAATTATATAATAGAGTTCTATAAATTTCTATTTTAATAAAATATTAAATATTATGATATCTAGCTAAGTTAAAATTTCATAGTCTATTAGGTTATCATTTCTTAAAAAAATTAAAAATACGATAAAATAAACATAATAAATTAAGTATATATATATATATATATATATATATATATATATATATAAAAAGAGAGAGAGAGAGAGAGAGAGAGAGAGAGAGAGGCACGTGGTTATGTAAGTTGGTTATTTATATATCTCTTCCATGTGATGTATTTTTCTTTTATATTTTTTATTATAAAGAAAATAAATTTTTTATAGTTAATTTTTTTTTAGTTTTGATTATGGACAGATAATTATACTCTTTCCTCTTGGTAGATTAAATATATATTATTCTTATTCATTTTTTTTATAGACTTTTTTTACTATTCTGTTATTATTATTTTGAAAGTTATACATGATTGTCTATGTGTATCAAGAAGCTAATAATGTAAAATTGTTTGAAATTTAACTTTAAAAGGTTTGAAATAATAAACTAAAATAGGTAACACCTTTAAAAAAATTATTATCTAATTGAGTGTATATGTTGTTTAGCTTGTGTAATATACATGATAATATTTATTTTATACCAGTGAAAACTTATAATAGAATAATATTATATTTTTTTATAAATAAATATTTTTAAATTTCTGAAAGTATTTTATATTAACAATCAATAATTTGTGTTATTAAATTGTTTTAATTGCAATTTCTATATATAATTTTTCATAGTTATTGAAATTGAGTCAAATTAACCCATTAATGATCAAATCGACAAATGATTTCATGATCCATATTTAAACTCAAAATCATTGAAAGACTTTATAATAGCGTGAATTAATAATAATAATAATAATAATAATAATAATAATAATAATAATAGATAAACTGGATATAAAATTGGTTAAAATTGACATAAAATTTTGATTTTTTTAATTATAATTTGCAGTTTTCCAAAATTTGTTTTTTTCTTTATAAATATCCAAAGTCAAAGAAAATAACCTATTTAATTTTTTTTCAATTTGTAAATTGAAAATAAATTATTCGATAAATAAATTTCCTAACAAAACACCAATTTACTCATTTATTTTATTTTTTAAAAATTTATATCTTATTTTATAAATTTATATCATATTTTTTCTAATTATAAACTTGTTTTTTTTTAATTAATATTATTCAAATTTAAATTTAAGCAGTTAGTATGTTTGATTTGGATTTCTAAATATATTTTGAATGTTAAGAATTTATAAATGATATTTCAATGTGAATTTCGGTGTTATAAATTTATGATATTATATTCATCAATATTATTTAAAAAATGGCTTATCTATTATTAGTATGTTATTAATATGATATTCAATTATAATTAAACATTAAAGCTTGAATAAATGTTTTTATTTTTTAATAATTTCTATGATTTTAAAAATATTTCATTTTATTTGATTTAATATAGTACTAGTGTTGTTGAGTTGCATTTTGACACACAAAATAAGTAAAAGTATATTTAATAGTAGACCTTTTTTTTAATTTCAATCATTCTTTAAAAAAAAAACATTGAGAGAATTTTTTTTTAAATGTACACTTGTCTTGTGTCAATCAACCATTAAATTAATTATATTTATTTTTGGATTTTTCCACTTTAAAAATAAAATAGAGTTAAATTGATAACTTAATTATCATTATAATTTGACACCAATTATCATTCTCATTTGTAAATAGCCATTCATCAAATACATTGAGTTAGTAATATTTTTATGCATAATTGATGATTTTAAAGTCAAAACAAATAACACTTTAATGTGAGAGGTGATTCCAAAAAATTACATTATTATTTTTGTTTTTTCTTTCCCAATTAACTCTGAACTTATTCGAGGGTTGTCCAACACTCTGATTATCATATTTACCTTAAAATCACATGAATAATAATTTATATAATATTATAGAAAAAATATTTAAATTATAATTTCAAAAACATGTATAATATCAAAGTGATTATCTCCCAACTCACTTCTAATTGAATGTTATTTTACTTTTAATTAAGTTTGATAATTAATGTTTTTTTAATTAAGTTTGATTATATATCATTTCATTGCTAAAATGATTTCCATTTAAAAAAAATAGTTTAATGTCTTGTAAGCATGATTATTTTACATTAATCACATCTAATTAATATCTCACACCATATTAAACATATATATATATATATATATATATATATATATATTTAAATTATTTTTATGTGTCAAATGTATTAACAAATTTATACAATGAATATTATAAATCCAGATATATAAATATACATATGTTTTTAAATAACCATTATACAAAGCAATGAACAGTTCTCTTTTGTTTACACCAAGAGAATTTTGATAACAACATTTAATATTGTTTCTTAACATATTTGCTTCTATAAAAAGCTTACACATAATACATCAACACTTCAATCAAATCCTAGATTTGTATAACCAAATCTATATTAAATCTACAATATTTAATTATTTTTTAGTTTTAATATACCACTAATCTAAAATTTATTATATTTTTATTTAACCATACAGACACACTTTAGAAAATAACTGACAATGGTAATTTTTTAATATCTTTTGCCTCTGTTTAATATGTTTATAAGGTGTTTTATAATTGGATCAAATCTTAAACTTACAAACGTAATTAAAACAATTCAAAATGATTCAATAAAATCAAGATTAAACGAAATAATATTTTTTTTAATATTGAGTGATTGAATTTATTTCAAACAAAACTCTCAATTTATAATATAATAGACTGTAACGAGTTGGGTCAGTTGTTAATCAATCTTTTGATATTATTTTAATATTTTTTTGGGTATATGTTGAAGATACGTCATTGTGTGATCCAGATTTGGATAGGTTTTATAAGTTTCAATCATTATTTCAACCTGTTTTTAAAACAAGCTTTTCTAGATTTAAAAACTATGAAATAAAAGCCAAGATTTTTTTCTTTTAATCTTTAAATAAATATTATTAAAAAATGTTAGAATTTTAAGTATATAGATGTTCAATGTTGTACATTGATTTTAACTTGGTCATTAGGTTAGGTGTGAAAAATTAAATATTTGATATGTTTTTTTTAATTTCAATCAAAATAAATATCTCAACGACAGATTAAAACCTAGTAAAATAAAATTTTGGATTGAAAAAACTTATAAAACATATTTAAAAGTTATAAAAAGTACATTTTTTAGTTTCTCAGTAATTTCTTCCCTCTTTTAATCACTCGGGATAAAGAGAACGATAACATTAACCTTTAGTTAAATATAATATTAATACAAAAGTATAACTAAAATAAGAGTGTTGATAATGAATTTATTAAAAATTATATTCTCTACATCTGTCAATATATATTTTTTATATTTTAATTAATATTTTATAATCATGATATTATTACAATATAAATACTTTTTATCCTATATAGTTTGTTTTATAATAAGAAAAATGGTATCTAATTTATTAAGGGACTAAAATTGGTATAATTTAAATATAAATTTTGGTCATAGAATGAATGCAGAGGTAAAAGATGAAAGTGTAGTAATCCTGCAATTATTTTTCCAAGTGGAGAAGGGGGTCAGAATCCAGAGCAGAATAAACCACAGTTTCTTGAGAATTTGAAAGGAATTATTCTTGCATTCCATGTTTTCAATGTAGGGGAGAAAGGTAGCTGTCGTGACAGCTGGCCATGTCAATAATCTGGCACTTCCGAGAACCCCACATCTATTGTCTCGGACCCCATAGCAAAACCTATGGGCTACCCAATTCCATAGTCCCAACGTGGCGTCCTACTGTCTCATCAGCACCACCATCAAGACCTGCATAAATATCTTCCCATGAGCAACCACCACTGTGAAAAAATAAGTTAAGTGTTGCAACTCGAAACTTCTCTACAAATTACTGCCTCACTGCCTTGGAGATGCCAATGATTGGGAGTAGAAATATACTCATTTGACATCTGGGTTAAACTATGAAAACTGTTAACAATCAGTACTAATAAATAACCATAAAAGCTGAGAACAAAGATGCTCATGAGTCTAGTAGATAGAGAGTAGTACTTATCAACATTCAATCTATCTGTACACTCTCTGTGTTGTTCTCTTCTGAAGGCTAACTCAAAGACAACAAAACAAACAGAAACACAGATCTGGATGAAAGAGCAAATGGGGTGCATTTTCTTTCACTAAATAGGATTCCAAGAATAGCTGTGGAGCCAAAAGGCTCTGAGATGCACCATAAGTCATTCAGGGTTGTGCTCTTCGGTGGTGAAATTCAGTGGGAGAAGGAGCGATAATTTCTCACTCAATATATCCAGCATACAACTCTATTATCATCTCAATTTATTTGTAATTTCCGTCCTGCCTCCATTTAATTGCATTGTCCACGACACGGTAATAACACAGCCTCTTCAATCTTAAATATCATTTATTTTTTCAAAATTTAAACATTCCAAATTGCATCTTGAACACCCTAATAGTATTGTTGCATCCTTATTAATATGAAGTTATCAGTTCAAAGTTCAAACATTTGGGTGTTCGCTTTGGATGTGTTTTTTTGAAAATTGATGTGGTTCAGGGTGATGGCCGCGATGGAGAAAATGGCAACCGAGGCGGAGGTGTGGTCAGTTACTTGCTACTGCTGCGGGTTAACAGAGGAGTGCACTGCGAGTTACATTGACGGTGTGAGGGAGAGGTATCAGGGTCGTTGGATTTGTGGGCTGTGTGCTGAGGCAGTGAAGGAAGAGGGTTTGAAGTTGAAAGGTGCTGATGTTAGCACCGATGAAGCACTGAAGCGCCACATGAAGTTCAGATCTTTCGCTTCAAGTCCTCCCAACAAACCCACCCATGACCTGATTCTCGCCATGAAGCAGCTTCTTTTTCGATCTTTGGATTCTCCCAGGAAAGATTCTTTAACCTGTTCGCCACTAGCTAGTTCTCACACATGTTTTTCACCTGGATCCTCGAAGGGGAGCCGCAAGAGATAATTACCAGTGAGTAGTAACTGCTGACTTGTTGCATGCAGGGGCAATGTTTATTTACTTATCTTGGTTAATTTAATCATGTTCAAATTGTATTTCTCAGTCACCTTGTTGTTTAGGGTGATTAATTGGCTTGTTTTGTTTCTGTTTTGGGACATTGTTGGACTGAATGGATGATTTGGCAAGGAGTCTTTCTCCTTCCTTGACTTCAGTCTTAAAATGTCTGAATTTCCCTTTGTTGTTTGTCTCTATGGTTGACCTAGTTCAGACTATGTATGACATTTTCTCAACCTTTAAATAAGGTGCACAATCATGTGTGTGTGCAAAAGTAATGTGAGTGTATACAATGGCTGGGATTTCTTCTTATCAAATGTTTATGCAACTTTTTAATGATTTTTCTTGTGTGCTGAATGTCAAACATCGACAAACACCAATGACAGCAAGATACCCTTTTTAGCTTTAATTTCCAGAGAGTTAACCATCAGGCCTTTAATATCACGTGGCTGTTCTTTGGTGTCCTTGCTTGAATTTGAGAATTGCCATATGCTTAGTGATCTAACTGTTAGAGCATAGTGACAGGAACAAATCAATGTTTACTTATATTGTTCCAAAGGTATTGCAAATGCAAAGGTTTCATCAGACACAACAAAAATAATGTATATTCTTATATACAACTTGTGTCCCCAAATCAATGTGGTGGCGCATTTCACTTGCTAGATTTGGCGAGGCAGGAGAAATATCACGAGTGTCAGGGATTCAGGGGGACCTTTGCTGGTATGGTCTAACCCATCGGAATAGAAACTGCAGTTTTTTTGATAGGGGATGGAATATGGGGTCCTTGTGCACAATGAGCTTTCAGAAGGAACATTTACTTCATAGGCCCACTACTTGTACAAGTTGGAAAGTGCTACAACTTATTGATAAGCATGATCAAACATTAAAACCGTGCAATCTTATCTCTACTCTGCTAAGTACCCTTCTTCTGGTCTGGCTTGTGAACACGGTAGAATTCAGAAATTGAATGGGGTGATTCCAAATATATCTTTTGTTGTGTTTCTGGAATTGGCATTGGCATACCCATTTGTTTTGATTTGTCAGTCCTTTCTGCATCAATAATGGTTTGCCAGTGGAAACATGCACCGACTACTAATGTCTTAGGCTCACAAATTTTACCCTCGTTCTCATATACTACGTATGCAAAGAAAACAAAAGAGATTTGTCATCATATTAAAGGAAGAAGCTTTGGATTTTTTTTTTTTTGTAAGCCTTTCGCTGCATCAATAATGGTTTGCTTTGCTAGCGGGTATATGCACCAACTAATAATGCCTTTCAAAGTTAAGGACAGTGATCATAACATTCACTGAGGAATTTTTCTCTTTTTGGTTTCTAAAATGTATTCCAATAATAATAAAAACTTGAAATTATGTTATTTCTAAGAAAAATATCTTTTCTTCAATAATATAAAAGCCTACCTGTATCCATCGTGATATTAATTTTTATTATCTGTAATTTAATGAATGGAACTGAAATAAAATACAACAACTATTTTTGTAAAATATTAGGTCTATGGATAGAAGTGGAGGGGAAAGCTATAGATGGTAAATTTGAATTTCATCTTAAAAAAATTAAATGATAATATTTTAAGAGTTTTTTTTATTTTATATATAAAATCATCTTTTTATATTTTACTATTTTTATTTTTTTATATATATATTTTTTATTATTTTTATTATTTTTAATCTTTTATATTAATTAATTTATTATACTAATTTTGTAATCTCTCAAATCAAGTCATTTTTTTAATCTTTTCAATCAATTTAACAAAACATAAAATTAATTCTTTTTTTTTAATATTTTACATAAATTTTAATAATAACTAGTATTATTTTATTTACCACTTATCTTTATTAAATTTTATTATATCATTTTTTTATTTTTTTATTTTTATTTGTTATATATCAAATTTTATCTTAATAAAATAATTATATTTTAAAGAATAAAAAAAATTAATAATTTAAATTTTTATTACTTTAAACTAATTAAATAAAAATTAATTTAATAAATATTTTTTATTAACTATATATTTCATATTTTTAAATAATAAATTAAAAAAATAACTTATATATATAATCAAATATTTAAATATAATATAATAATAATAATAATAAAACAATTAAATATTTTTGTACATATATATTTTAATATAAATATAATAAATTATAATATATATTTAATTAATAATTATTATAAATTATAAAATTATAAATATTTTTTATAAAAAATATATTAAAATATTAAAATTAATTTATTATAAACATAAATATTTTTTTAAAAATAATGTAAATAAAAAATGGACGGAGATAAAAAAAAAGTCAAAACTTAAAGAAAGAAAAAAGAAAAAAACTTAATTTTTAATTACAACAATAAAAATTCACTCACAACAAAAAAAAATCATAACGAAAATGTTAATAAAAATTCAGGAGGGATTAGGGACAAAATAATTGTTCTTAAAGTGCATCATTTTGACAACTTTTCCTACGCCTCTGATCTCATCAATTTTGGATCCAAACTGGTTAATAGACAACAACTCAAACATCTGATTATATTAATTCGATGATAATATTTATTATTACATTAATATTTATATTGTTGATTGGTAGAAGAGTTATAACTTATAAGTGATCATGGCTTCTTGTTTACTCAAATTCTTGTCTGTGGACCAAAACTACCAAAAACAAATTGTCAGACAAGCAGTACCAAGTTGCTTGATTCAAGTACGTATTACCAATCTTGTTCATTTCAATTTCCACAAATAACCTTCGAGCATGCAAAACAACGCCTTGTTACATACAGCTTAATCTTTGGATTACTTGATATTATAAGAATCTTAATTAATATAATCAATTATTCTGAGTTTAAATTTAGAATACATATTGTGTTAAATACAATTCATTTTATCTCTTATAATAAATATATCGAATTCAGTTAGAAAAAAGAACTATGATATATTCATTCAATCACAAGACTGCATATATAAAACAAGAAACAAAATCATATTAAAAGTTAAGAAAAATGGTATGAAAAAATTAGGGTTATCAGGCTATTCGCACGGATCTATCTCATGTCTCCTTTGAATTATATTTTTAAAGGTTATAATTTTTTATAATATTTTAATTTTTATTTGATTAAAAACTAAAAAAATTTATCATATTTATATAAAAATAAGTAATTAAAAAAATAAAAATTTAAAACTATTTGTAAAATTATATTAATAAAATTAATTTTATTTTAAATATAATAATTTAATATATAAATTATAATAAAAAATTCATTAATTTTTAAAATAAAAAATAAAAAATTACTTTTTATTATTATTAATTATTTTAAAAAAATATTAATCTAAAATAATATTTTTTTCTTAAACAGTAAATCTTAAAATAATTAAATATTAGAAAAAAAAATTATGTTTAATTTTTTAAATTAATTTATAATATATAATTAATAAAATAATATTTTTTAATTAAAAAAATTTATTAGTCGGTTCAGAATAATTAAACTATTTCTTTGGCGTTTCAAACATACCTAACTAAGTCTATTTCTACGTTAAAAAAACTACCTAGGATTCATAAAAACTGGACACAAGCCAGGTAAAAAAGTGTGAAGAAAAACAAGACAGCTATTGGGGGCGTTTTGGGTATTGGAAGCGTTGTCACAACACCTTAACAAAGAAGGAAGGGTCAGAGCCAAGGTAGCTGCATTGCATAAACCTGGTTGTCGTCGTTGTTGCAATCATTGAACTTGATCGTATTTGGCAAACCCTTGGAACAAAAAATCCACAGCGAAGATGATGCACATGACCTTTTACTGGAGCCGGAAGGTCAATCTCCTGATCGATTCATGGAAGACCAACGATTGGACCGATTATCTCATCACTCTCCTCGTATGCCTCGTGGTTTCCGTGTTCTATCAGTTCCTCGAGAATCGCCGTATTCGCCTCAAACTCATCGGCTCCGGAAGGCCCTTCCCGCCGGAGATCGAGACCCCTCTGTTGCGGCGAAAGCTCACCGGAAACCGCGCAAAGTTGGGCGTGAAGGTCGCCGGAGCGTTTCTCTTTGGGCTTAGCTCGGCGATCGGGTATTTGTTGATGTTGTCGGTTATGTCCTTCAACGGAGGGGTATTCGTGGCCATTGTCGTGGGTCTCGCTGTAGGTTACTTCTTCTTCAGGAACGAGGGCGAAGATTCCCTTATCGTTGACACTTCTTGCGCCTGTGCTTAATTTAATCACTGTTAAATCTTCCCATTTCCTTTTATGAGAATCATACTTGTTGTATATTATTCCGTGTTTTAATTTAGCCCTATTGTTTTTTAGATGTGCAATTTCGTATACGGAATTGTAATTAATTGTTATTGTGATACTCGAGATGCTTTAATGGAAGTGGGAACCCTTGATTGATTCTCAAGTTGAATTTATATTGTGGCAGTTTTTGATTTCGTGGCAAATGGGTTTTGAGAAAATTTCTTTCTTGATTTTTGTAGTTATATCGATTTTTGGTAGAGTTGAAACTGTGGATGAAAGGTATTAGATGAACAAGGATGAAATATGGATTGCGTTTCGTTGTTGGTAATTCCGAATAATTTTGATAGTTTCGTTTTTAGGCAGAAGATTCTTCCCTTAAGGGGATATGTGGCTATTGCAGCAGCCTCAACTTTAGGTGGCCATATTTTTTTGGAATCAGAGATCATATCCCTTACAAATATCAACATATGAAAGCAAAAGTTAAAGCAACTTGGTTTGAATACTTCTGTTGGGCCAAGAACTACTAATATCAGCATTAAAACACTAGTTTAAGCCCTACACGACACCTTGTTTTTATTTTCTTCTGTTCTATTATGTTCAGACTTGGAGGCCCTTCTCAAACATCTTCCAGATACAATCTGGATGGCATTCAGTCCTTGATAATTGGAAGTTACTATGAGAATTAGAAATGACCATGGGGAAAAAATAACGACGAAGAGCCTCGTTATAAAGCTACTTGACAAAGATTTTAAAAGCAATCGGATCTAAACAAAATCTGTATTTCATTCTAAGCGCGTCAAAGGATATCGACTAAACAATTGTGACAATGTGTCATCCATCTTTTATATGCAGTAAAATCTTGATGTGCTCGCATGTTTGCTCCATTTCATTGGTTAATTGAGCTTTTCATTAATTTAAAAACAATACTTTTTTTTCGTATATTATCGTGTTGTTCTTCATATACATTATTGTCATTACAATGCCATCCATTCAAATATGAGCATCAGAGTCACCATTTCTGATAACTTGTGTAGTATACACATTTCACCTCAAACAACCATACACTTGTTACATTAAAGCTCTCTATTTCTGATCAAAATCAGACGCTGCTAATTAATTTCTTTAACTTGCTTCTTTGTAGACCACCCCTTGCAAACTAAAAATGGCAAAAACAAGATTTCATTAACTATTTCATTTTTTTTTTCTATCTGCTATGTTTTATCTACGTTGCTGATGAGTTGGTGTTGTTACCACAGTCAAAGGACTCTTTCATGCCCTTTGACAGTAGCACCTCAATGGCTACTTTCACTCACCGCTACATACACAAATGGTCCTATGATCACATCGTCAAAATCCTGAAGAGACTCTAATATCTTAACCACATCACTCATAGTTGGCCGTGTATAGGGGTGGTGACTCAAACATTTATAGGTCAACGCAGCAACCTTCAAAGATCCTTTCGTAGGAAACTGCCCTTCCAATCTTGGGTCTATTATATGGTGCAGCTTTCTTTGATCTCTCAAAAGAGGCCTTGCCCATTCCACAAGGCTTCGTTCTCTATTGGGTCGGCACTTATCCACTACCCTTCTTCCTGTAAGCAATTCCAACAAAACCACTCCATAACTATACACATCACTCTTGGTGGAAAGGTGACCTGGGATCAGGAAATGAATTAATCATATGACTCTTGGGAAACAAAAACAAAAATCATTGCTTTCGAAACATCTTTGAACCTCAGAATTAATGAAGTGATCACAAAAGACAATGTTAATGACCTCTTGTCTATACCTGACTTTATGTACTCAGGAGCAGCATAGCCTCGGGTTCCCATTATGCATGTTGTTGTTACATGTGTATCTTCCCCTTCAGGACCATCTTTTGCTAGCCCAAGATCTGATAATTTAGCTGTGTAATCCTGGATTTTTAAAGATAAAAAAAAAAGAATTTAATTGTAATATACTAATCCTATAAATTGTCTTCTAACCGTGAATTGTCATACAAATGAAAATTATTAAGTTTTATAATAAATTTTTAGAAAGCTTTCTAGTTAGTTAGACAGCGTATCAAAGTTAAACTCTTAACATAAATAGTCATATATATTGTAAAAATTTCTTTATTGCATGTAGGAATATGATGTAGGCCATTAGAAGATATATTACCATCCTTCAGAAAGAGATTGAACATACCGAGTCTAGTAAGATATTTGAAGTTTTGAAATCTCTGTATATTACAGGTTTATCTGCTTCGTGAAGGAAGGCCAGACCCTTAGCTGCACCTAATGCAACCTTCATTCTAGTTGACCATGGTAAGGCAGCAGAGTATCCTGCTTGAGTTAGAACAAAACTCAGGCCTACTTTATACTTAATGCTATCGGCAACAAGTTCGTTTCCAAATATTTATGTGTGATATTCTTTTCAATATATATACTCAACTATCATGCGAATTCATCAAAATCCATATAAAACAAGTAGAATTGAATTAATTACATGTGCTTTATAATAATAATAACATAATATCCAAATATTTGATAATCAAGCTACCTCGATGGTAAAGTTTGATTGGACCGAGTTAATAGTACCACTGAATCAATCAGAATACTCACACAGAAAATAACTCAGTGATTTTCTTCAGGATTTCATTCCTTCCTTGATGGGGAAAAAGAGAGAGAGAAAAAACAATAATAAAAATGGGTAGAATAAAGAAAAATGTCATTACATACTTCTAAACAGTTGATTCTCCAAGCTGCCTCTAGCCATGTATTCATACACAAGAAGCCTGTGCTCCTCCTCACAACAGTAACCAATTAACTTAACAAGATGTGGATGCCTCAGCTGTCCAAGAAATATAATCTCCGCCTATAAAGAAAACATGTGCCAAGCTAATATCAGATATTCATCAACCATGTTTCACTAGCTAGATTTTATTCATAGGACTAGTATTTTTAAATTGATTTATGACTAATATTAGAATGGGTTGAAGCTAAAAATACAAAGAAACAAACCAGCCACTCCCTGTGACCTTGGAAGCCATCCAAGTTCAGTTGTTTCACAGCTACAGACTGAGCCTTCAAACCAGGTCTAAGTTTGTCATCAACAAAACCTTTATACACAGGCCCGAACCCTCCTTCACCAAGAAGATTACTCCATGAGAAATTATGTGTTGCTTCCCTTAGCTCCTCTAGGGTGAATGTGTAAAGCTTTGGGCCAACCAGGGAAATGGAAAGATCTTCAATGGCCTGAGGGGAGCTAGGAATGCTTATATCCGAGAGGCATAACCTTTGGAAAGAACCTTGTTTCAAAACCTGTTCCTCTGATTCCTGTAAGGAGCATTGAGTCTTGTAACAACTCAAGATGAACACAATAGACTTCCATGTAATCTTTTTAGAACCCATCTAGAAAAACCAATATGAGTGTATGTATGTATGTGCAATACTCTGAATAAAACAAGTCCCTTTTTCCTCTTAAATCTGGTGAATTATAAAGACAACATAGAAAATGGTTCAATTGATGATACTAAAAAAAATAAATAAAGGGTGAGAAGTTTATAGCACATACATTCTTCCAAGTCCTAACTACCCTTAGAAAGATTCCTTGACTTCTAGACCTCTTCCTGAATAGGGTTGCCATATTCCCACTTGGCAGAGTTATTCTACATGCATGAATGGTTTTTATTTTATTCATTGTCACAATATTTTTGTATCATAATTGTAATCGTTGTCCTATGTTCAATTAATTGAATGTCAGGTAACTCGCCTACCTATTGACTTCAATGCTACCCTACACTTCCCCAACCCCTTACAAACATGTATGCAATCTCTCTTTTGTCTCTATATCCATTTAGTCATACACTTATTTTTGTTTAGCTGTTCATGAACATTCCAGGGAAGGTCCAAAAATTTGACATAATTTGCCAGGTGCAAAACCAACAATTCCATTTTATCAAATCTTTTGATGTACATTGGACGGTTTTCTTTGTTTATTCAAGTGATATATTTCCCAATTTCTGGTAGGTCACTCTTTCCTCTATTGTTGTTGTTAAGATGTCAACTTCAAACATGTCAACTCGACAATCAGACTCCTTTGAAATTTTTAATGTGACAAAAGAGGATAGCTTTCAGAACTAGGATACTAAGAATTTGGTGTTCAAAAGCAATCTATCCATCTGCTCCTTGGTTCAAGCACGAGTTTCAGAAATAGCAATCTATACAACTAAAAACTTCAAAAGGGTCTAGATATTTAAAATTGTTAGGGAAAGAAAATTACCAAAAGAAAAACAAAAGGATAGATAGCTTTCAAGAGGTCAAAGAGAAAGGGTGAACCAATCAATCTAACCATCAACCACTTGCATCCCTTGTGGAAAATATGCCAAAACTCTGCACAAGCTATTAGGCTAATCGTTGCATCATTCTTTGACAATAGAATTGCCCTTTCCAAGTGCTCAAAGACCATAAATACGATTAAAATAAGAAAGGGGAAAAAGTTCTACATGCACTTTAATAATGTAAACTTGTGTTCAGTAGGAAATGTATATTAGCTTTAAAAACACTCAATTGGAGCAGCCAGAGTTCCGGTACATGTTGAACTTCAGATATTTAACAGTGATGAGATTACAGTAATGACACATCAGAATTCTTTCACACAATAAATATAAAAAGGGTGGGAACAATCAGAGTTCCTTGGAAAAAACAAACAATTTAAGTGGGATATTTGATGGCTTAAGATGAAAAAGAAAACGCTATGAAAAATGTGATTTTAAACAAGATTTTAGAGTGTCATCATCCAGTACGTTTTTCTATTGCAAACAAAAATTATTATAGTTTTCGTATAAAACAAAAGTTACCTACTTCAGTTGCAACTTGCAAACACTAACGGAAGCAGTAGAAAATTCTAAAACGTGACCAAAATTGAGCGCCTCCCCCAGTAGATTTAAAAAAATAGGCATCAAATCAATTCAAATTTAATTTGCTGAATCAAAGGGGTGAGAGATGTTAGGTATCAGACTAGCACAAGAACTCAACTAAAATAGAGAAGAGAAAAATAGAATAACAATAATGGACAAAAGTAGAAATTTTATAATAGCAAGAAAAGATTACACACCCCTTCTCTAGTCCTAAAATTGACAACACTTTCTAATACTAGAGAAGGAAAGGAATTTTTTTTTTGGGATGTATAGAATGGGGGGTATGTGGTTTCTTATATAACCACTCACCCATACCCCCTTTGAAGTACCCACAGATGTGGGACTTTGTTCTCACAATCTCCCACTTGAAGATTTTGATGAAATTAATCAAATCTTCACACCATGATTATCTTTTCCATCTATCGTTGCTTATGCTTTCAATAGGCCATAACAGGATCGACTTAGTATAAACTTGTCGGCATTTCTTGGTTTTGTCAAGGCATCTGCTAGGTTATCTTTGGTATGAATCTTCTGCATATCCACACTCCCTTCCTCTACTACTTCTCCGACAAAATGATATTGTACTCCTATGTGTTTTGTTCGGAATGAAAAGCTGGATTCCTTGCAATGTGCAAGGCACTCTGACTGTCACAATACACATTGATCTTCTCTTGCTTGTGTCCGAGTTCTCCCAATAACCTTTGAATCCAAATTGCTTCCTTGCATGCCTGGGTAGCTGCCATGTACTCCGCCTCTGTAGTAGATAAGGCTACAATAGTCTGCAGTTTAGATAGCCAACTTACCGCTCCACTTGCAAGTGTAAACACATATCCTGTAGTAGATTTTCTTTTATCAAGATCACCTGCAAAATCCGAATCAACATATCCTCTCGACAATAAACTCGATCCTTCAAAACATAATGCGGCATTAGAGGTTCCTTTAATGTATCTTAGGATTCTTTTCACGACATTCCAGTGCTCTCTACCAGGATTTGCCATAAATCGACTAACCAGTCCCAACTGCTTGTGCAATATCCGGTCTCGTACAAATCATAGCATACATAAGACTTCCCACCGTCGATGCATACGGCACTCGAGACATTTCCATCCTTTACGCTTCATTGCTAGGACACATATTTGAGGATAATTTGTAATTGATAGGCAATGGGGTAGAGATTGGCTTACAATCTTGCATGTTGAAGCGCCGCAAGATTTTCTTAAGATAATTCTTTTGAGAGAGCCAAATCTTCCTATCCTTTTTGTCTCGGTGAATTTGCATCCCTAAAATCTTGTTTGCAAGTCCCAAGTCCTTCATATCAAATTCCCTAGCCAACTGTGCCTTCAATTCTTGGACTCGATCTTTGTTGGGGCCTACCACCAACATGTCATCCACATACAACAACAAAATGATGAAATCATTATCATCAAACCTCTTGTAATACGTACAATGGTCTGAACTCAGTCTGTTGTATCTGAGGCTAATAATGAAGGAATCAAATCTCTTGTACCAACACCTTGGCGCCTGCTTTAAACCGTACAAAGATTTGGTCAACCTACAAACCAAGTTTTCTTTTCCTTGTTCTTCAAAGCCTTCGGTTGGAGCATATAAATTTCTTCTTCAAGTTCTCCATGAAGAAAAGCGGTCTTTACATCCAATTGTTCAAGATGTAAGTCAAATGCAGCACACATAGCCAACACTACTCCGATAGTGGTAAGTCTAACCACTGGAGAGAATATCTCATTGAAATCAATGTCTTCCTTTTGAGCATACCCTTTTACTACCAGTCTTGCACGATATCGTTCCACTTGATCATTACCATCACGTTTGATCTTATAAACCCATTTGTTGCCGATGGCTTTTCGACCTTGTGGAAGTGCAACAAGCTCCCATGTCTTGTTTTTGTGTAAGGCTTCTATTTCTTCTTGCATTGCTGCCATCCACGAGAGAAGCATCCGAACTACTCACGGCCTCCCGAAAGGTTGACGGTTCTCCCTCTTCTGTTAGAAGACAATATGCATCATGACTTGCCATTACATAGTCCGAGTGCCAAGATGGTCTCCTTATCCGACGTGTTATTCGTCGAACTTACGTGTCATTGGCCTCTTCCGGTTCTTGCTCCTCATGCTCCGGTTCCGCTTCTAAAGAATCTTCTTCTCCGGACTTTCCATCTATTTGTACAGTAGTTACATCTTTAGAAGTCTTGTCATTTACTTGTTCATTTTGCGGTTCATTCTCTGCAAAAATTACGTCTCTGTCGACAATAACCTTGTGGGCGGTGGGATCCCACAGGCGATACCCCTTAACTCCGTCGGCATAGCCCAAGAATATGCATTTTCTGGATTTTGGATCCAACTTTGTTCTTTCTTGGGAGTTGTACATTACGTACACAGGACATCCAAACACATGTAGAGAAGAGTACTCTGCTGGCTTTCCTTTCCACATTTCCATAGGTGTCTTTAAACCAATCACGAGTTGATGGAGATCGATTTATCACGTAACAAGGCTGTCTTCACCGCTACGCCCAAAAAGACTTGGCTAATCTTGCTCGTTCGCAAGATAGCTCTAGTCCTCTCTAGGAGAGTTCTATTCATCCGCTCTGCTACACCATTTCGTTGAGGTGTATGAGCAACCGTGAAGCTGTCTCCTTATACCCTCCCGCTTGCGAGAATGCCGGAAACTCACCATCTGTATATTCTCCTCCATTGTATCGTCCTTAAGCACTTGATCTTCTTTCCAGTTTCAAGCTCCACTTGTGCTTTGAATTCCTTGAAAGCTGGAAACACATCTGACTTTTTCTTGATTGGGTACACCCACAATCTCCTAGAGTAATCATCAATAAATGATACAAAATATTTAGCTCCTCCTAGAGACATTTCCGGTGACTCCCACACATCAGAATGTATCAAGTCAAGTATGTGTTTGCTTCTAGTAGTTGACTTTTCAAATTTCAATCTATGTTGTTTGTTTGTCACACAGTGTCTCACGAAAGGTAAGTTTACCGATGTGAGCCGGGTAAGAGTTTACGTTCCGCAAGGACCTTCAAGCCTCGTTCGACATATGGCCTAGTCTGCGATGCCACATTGTCGTTGATTCCTCTTGACTAGGCTGATGCAACCGATACATCCGCCTCTTGCAACGTATCTCCCAGAAGCATGTATAGGTTTGCAGCAAACTTCTCTGCTTTCATCACTACTAGAGCACCTTTCACTACTTTCAAGATCCCACCTTCAATATGGGTCTTGCAACCGAGGTCATCCAATTGTCCAATAGACAATAAATTCTTTCTCAAACCCTTCACATGTCGTACCCCTTGAATTGTACGAATAGTCCCATTGTACATCTTCAATTTGACAGATCTGATTCCAAGCAATTTCCAAGGCGTGATCATTACCCATGAACACGAGATCCCTCCGAGATAGGTTTATAAGTGCAAAACCAATCTCTTCGTGAAGTCATGTGCCATGTTGCTCCTGAATCTATTATCCAAACATCGGTGAGTCGTTTTTCACCTTTGGAACCAATAGGTGCTTCGCTATACGAGGATTTCTCCATCATCGGAGGTACCTGGCAACACATCCTTGAGATGTAGTTGCCTCGGAAGACTTCTCTCGCATTTTTCTTCTTCCAACAATCTTTCTTCAAGTGCCCTCTCATGCCACAATAGTAGCATTTGAAATTCTTCCTTCCTCGAGATTTTGATCTACCATGGTTTTGACTCCCACTTGGAGCCACGCTCCGTTGATCTTCCTCTCATCATCGTCAAAGCCTCTGCTTGCTTGGAATTTTCCAATCTATCTACTTTATTCTTGCGTCCGGATTCTTCTTCTAGAGTAGCTCCGGCAACATCCTCAAAGCGTAGATTTTCTTCCATATTAGTATTTGTTATGTTGATGATGAGTTGATCG